GAGCCAGTGGGCAGTGCCTGGTCCAGAGTGCAGGAGGGCACTTGGAGCTGGATGTGGCAATGCAGTAAAATCTCACCAGAACCCTTGTCCCACTTGTGTCTTTCAGAACCGTGGCGTGTACATGTTCCGCATTGACAATGACCACGTCATCGATGCCACCCTGACRGGAGGCCCTGCAAGGTGGGTGGCCCTGGGGAGACCCCTGACTGCCCCTGATCATCACCCACATTGTCCTGGGGCTGTTTGAGGCTCTTTGTGGGGTTTATTCTCTGAACTGGTACATTCAGTCTTCAAACTGTCCCACTGAAATAATGTTTTCTCCATCAGTTTTGCTCATCTTTTGGTTATGGTTCATGGCAGCTATGAAGAAAGAAAGGAACTTACTTTGATCCTTGATATGACACTTGATTTTTTTGACATTTTCTAGGTAAAGAAAGAAGTACAGAGTAATGCAATTGTATGTGGAAAGGCAGTGAGTCTGTGGAGCTAAGGCCATCCTGAGGTTTGGTGCAGATTTTCCTCAAGGCATGGGTTTTCCTAAAAGGTTTCATCTGTCCCACTCCTCTTTTGTAGGTACATCAACCATTCGTGTGCACCCAACTGCGTGGCTGAGGTGGTCACTTTTGAGAGAGGACACAAAATTATCATCAGCTCCAGCAGAAGAATCCAGAAGGGGGAGGAGGTAGGGCAGGTTCTGGCTTTACACCCCTCTTGCTGCATGCATCCATTCCCARATCCTTCTGTAATTTTTGGCCAGTGGCACAAGAGGTGACATTTCCCTTCCCCTTTCCTTTAAATCTGTGCCAGTCTCTTTCAGTGCAGTCTCTGCTGTTTTGCTGTTTAACCTGTAGCTACAGGGAAAGCTGTGGCAAATCCCAGCTGTTCCATAACCTGTTCTCCTGCCTCTCCTTCCAGCTTTGCTATGACTATAAGTTCGATTTTGAAGATGACCAGCACAAGATTCCATGTCACTGTGGAGCTGTAAACTGCCGAAAGTGGATGAACTAGAATGCATTCCTTGCTGTCTTTGAGGGTTGCTTGTCCCTAGGAAGAAGTGATTCACATTTTGATTTTGTCGACGGAAAATTGTTGCCTTTATGAAGGGGGGAAAAGAAAATATCACTTCTGGAAACACAGATTTCTACACAAGTATTTAAGAAGAAAAAAAAAAATAAAAAATAACCCACAAAGCAACACAAGCACCAGAAGCAAGCCGGCAAAATCTGAAGCTGACTTTCCAGACACGTGGAGGTGAAACTGAGTTAACAGAATGGTCCAGCACTTTTGTTTTTGAGCTCACTAAGAAGAAACTGTTTAACTTGGGCAAAGAACCGCTGGCTGACCTGCAGGACGGCAGGTGGCCATTATGAATGTAAGACTGAAATCACCAGCGAAAGGGAGAAGTCCAAAGTGCTGGCCACAGCCTTATTTGATAAAGGGGCAGGCCCTCTAATTAAAGAAAAAAATTTAAATAAAAGTAGACACCACTGAACAAGGAATGTACTGAAACGACTTCCTTAGGGATAGAGCTAAGGGAAAAAATAACTTGCACTAAAATACATTTAAATACTTGATTCCATGAGTCAGTTTATTGTAGTTTTTGATTTCTGTAAAATAAGAGAACCTTTTTGTATTTATTATTGAATAAGTGAATGAAGCTATTTTTAAAAAGAAAGTTAGAAGAAAGCCAAGCTGCTGCTGTTACCTGCAGAACTAACAAACTCTGTTACTTTGTATAAAAGTGTAAATATTTTGAGAAAAAAAATACAGTATAAAAATAGTTATTGACCAAATGCTACCAGACTCTGCAGCAGTTCGGGTGCTTATTCTCAAACGTTGATAGGGATGTTACAATATGATCTCATGTACTCACGGACATGCGATTCCCAGTTTGGAATAACCAAAATCTCAATTTAAAGAGAGGGGGTTTTGTATGTTTAAAGCAGTCTCAACTGTGGTCTTATGAGAATTTTTTTAAGTAAACCTTAAGCCTGGTAAGGGCRTGTATATTACAACTCTGACTTTTATAGATGTTTGGGTAATTTAGATTAATTTTATTTGTATTATATTGTTGCATCCCTATTTCTTAAGTCAGGTTTTTTGTGCTTACAATTTGTGATAACTGTGAATAACTGCTAAAACCACCCAAAATAGAGGCTGGACAGGGTTTTTTTTTCTTCAGCAAAAGTAGTCAAGGATTAGGTGACTGTTCAGCCTACATTAAATCATGTAAACAGCATAGAATCAGTYGGAGCTTCAGTCTGATGCGATAGCCTTCTTAAAAGGAAAACAAGGAAAAAAATTAGGTGTAATGTGCTTGCAGCTGCAGGRCTCTGGCAATAGGGTTTTGGAAAATGTAATTTAAAGATGTGTTTGTATGGATTGTTTTTGTTTACATTTCTTTAAAAAAAAATAAACACTGTTTTGTGTTTGCTTGTAGAAATTTAATCAGCATTTTGAACCAGGTTAGCTTTTTATTTTGTACTTAAAATTCTGGTACTGACACTTCACAGGCTAAATATAAAAAAAAAWKRARKTTTTTTTTTGTGTGCACAATTAAAGTGGACTGTAAACTGTTGGTATATTCAGTAATACAGTTCTGAACTTGTAATGTATATGGCATGATGTATTTTTATCTTACAGAATAAATCAATTGTATATATTTTTCTCTTGATAAATAGCTGTATTAAATTGTTTCTTGAATATTTTTCTTCTCTTGTACAATATTCCAACATCCTACCAGTATTTGTCCTACAGTTTTTTCTGTTCTGTATAATAGTATCTAATGTTGGCAAAAAAAATACAAAAACAACACAAAAAAAAAGAATTTTTTTGAAGTATACAGAGTGTTATGGGTTTTGGAATTTGTGGAAACAGATTTAGAAGATCAGCATTTACGAATAAAAATATTTTACATCTATAAAGTGCATYCTCCTGTTGTCATTTGAGGTGTTTGGTTTCTCCTTCTTCCAGAGGATCTGTGTCTTCTTCCACCAGTGAGAGGYATTTGCTTTCCCCCTTCTCCAGTGCAACCTGCACCTTAAATTTCCCAGTGGGTRCCACATCCTCATCTCACCCCCCGAGTCTCAACGCTTTCACTGTCTCAGTGTCCCCAGTGTCGCAGGAGGAGGAGTGAGCAAAGGACTGACTGGGCTTAAACCTCGATGCTGCTGCTGTGACAGYRCTGGACASCAGGGACGTTCCCAGCAAGCTCTCRGCCTGGGTCCAGGTTAAAAAAAAGCTCCAGGGTTTATCACAGAGCAGTGGGAAGCAGCCAGGCCAGAGCTGTTCCCTGGTGTTATTTATAAATACTGTGCACATTGGCTGCTGCAGGACAGACTCTGCTGCTCTGGCAGCCACGGCCACCACCCACTCCAGGAGCCATCAAGAAGGAGGTACTTGACACAGAGGATTTAAAATCAGCCCCAGGCAGAGTTTGTTTCTTCACAAATCTTCACAAATTATAAATTCTCAGTGTGACAGCAGCAAGCTGAGTGCTGTGAAAGTGTCTACCCTGGCATGAGGCTTTTCTTTCTCTATTAGGCAGAATTCCCACTCAGCCCACTGGGCCAGGACTGCGTCCAGCAGAGCTTTCACCCTCTTTCAGGTAATGGCCTGGCAGTGTGACTGCACCAGATCTGTCTGTGGCCAGGAACTCCCTGCAGGAACAACTGACACCATCCAAAACTCCATCACCTCCATCTGTTCCTGGAAACCGGCACCGCTCCCAGTGACAYTCGCCTCCAAATCTCCCCACCGGGAGCAAAAGGTCAAAAATCCTCCATGAGAACTGACACAGACTGTAAATAAAGCAAGCTGCTGCTGTGCCTGCTTGGAGATTTGTTTGGGTTTTCTGGATTTTTTATTATTTTTTTAAAAAGACAACATAAAGGCCACAAGAAAAGGTCAGGCAAGGCTCCTGCACAATGTGGCTGCCAACACAAATGGCACAGGAAAGCCCTGCACACAGYTGGGAGCAGCTGTGTCACCACCTGCCACAGTCAGGATCAATCAGACAAACACAAATGAAGCGGCAGCCCCTCCTTTCACCCCAACAAGGACTGGAATTCCACACACAGCCACTGGAAGGGTTCACCTGAGCTGACACCATGTTCCAGCCCTAACCTGCCCTGCAAGAGCCATCTGGGAACTGATGCCAAGACTCTGCGTGGCCCTGAGCAAGGCACAGCACAGGCTCAGCTGATCAAGGGGGCTGGGGCTGGTTTTAGAGGCTTTTCTTGGTAGCAAGGAGCTTGGCTGGTGTCTAACTTAATTCCTCCCATTGTAATGCTTTACCTGAAAGAACTTCCACTTCAGCCAATTGTTCTGGTTTACAGTTAAACCCTGGTACCTGCTGGGGCCCACTCCCACCAGGAGCAGTGGAGGAGGCAAAGCAGCTGCCCTGGGCCCAGGCCATTCTTACCTGCTCCTTTGCATCCTCTTGCTTTTCTCGTCCAGGTGCTGGCCCTGGCAGGCAGCTGAAGGACCAGAGTCTGGCACAAGTAAATCTCTCTGCAGAAAGATGTGGGTCTATATTACTCCAACATTATTTGCCTCACACTGCTCAGAAAGTCAGTAGCTGGATGCCGAAGTATTTGTGCAGTTGGAAAATGTTTCTGCTGCCCAAGTGGAAGGGCAAGGCTGTCTTGGCACTGCCGAGGTCCAAACTGCGCATTCCCAGGGATGGTGGTCACTGTGGAGTGGGAAACAAGGCCAATGGTGCTAAGAAAAAAATACACTGGGTAAGAGCAGCTTTTCTCTTCTGCAGGAGCTTCCACACGCTGATGAAGCATCCAGGGATGAGGCAGGAAGTCAAAGGTAAATAGTAAAATAAATAGAGAAGTGGAGAAAAAAAGAGACGAATTATCTATCCATTTTTGCAAGATGTGAGGAAGGGAGTGGAAACAAGGAAAGACCCAAGTTGTGTGAACATTAGTTTGCATCAGTGTCTAAGCTGGTGCTTTCTGGTCCCACAGCTACAAGGAGTAAGGCCATAGAGATTAATAAAAAAAGATACTTTATTTTAAATGCAGCTACTGTCATGAGTCATCAAAATAGACTTTGCAATAGTTACTTTGTTTTAAATATGAGGTGACGAATGACAGCAAAGAATTTGTACTACAAGAAATGCCCTAAAATTGTAAATTAAATGAACTAAATTTAAATATTACAAATTACAATCTTCAGAAGATAAAAGGGGRRAAAAAAACTTTCCAGAAAAAGTAAAATAATTTGGCCAGTAAACCCATACTAGAAGTGTAAATTATTGAGATACTGCACATGAAATACTTAAGGAGGGCTCCTTTCTGTCATTGTCATTTAGAAGATCCACAGAGCTGAAATCTCACCATTTAAATTACATTGCTCTAATGATTCCTCTTAAAACCAGTCCAATGATCCAGAATSATCCAAGGAACCGATGATAAATTTCACTTCTGTGTGCTTTTCCGCTGTGGGGCTGCTACTCTCACTGGTTGTYTAGGTACCAGTGACCCCYTGGACTTTCCCACACTCAGCTCCTYGGAGCAGGGCATTTCCAGCAGGTCCTTGTGATGGTTGTGCTGGGTGTAGCAGCCAAGGGCTCTGCTCAAAACGCTCCAGGACGTCAGATCATGGTAGAAGGGGAACCAGGGCTCAGCCAGACTCTCCTCAGCCACCTCGTTGCTGTCTCAGCTCTCAAAATGCCACTGCTGAGGAAGGGACCCGTCACAGATGGCCACGGTCACGTACCCCTTGTGGCTCAGTGGATCCACCACCTTCAGGCACTGCCCCACAGAGACCTGGTACAGGCGGTTGTTTTTCTGGAGCAGACAAAAAGACAGATGGGATTTATTTACTGAAACTTCAGTTCTCCATTGTCAAACTGGAGCTGAAAGCGATGCCTAAGGGGATGCTCCTTCCTGACAGATGAGCCTTTCAGCAGCCTCCCTGACACACCAGACCCACAGCAGCAGYAGAGTACAGCACACCCCATAACCACATCCAGACTTTGAAACAAAGGCTCTCACGTCCTCACAGGCACCCAGTTTGGATTTTGTTTATACCACAGTCTTCTAACGAGGTGGAGGGATGATCAAACCCGTTCCCCAGCCCTCAGCAAAGAAAGAGCCCACAAGGCTGTAGTGGGGCATAAACAGGTCATAGGATCCTAGAATGGTTTGGGTTGGAAGGGACTGTAAAGAACATTTAGGTCCAATTCTTCTGCCACGGGCAGGAACACCTTCCCTTGACCAGTTTGCTCAGAGCCCCATACAACTCTGCCATGAACGTTTCTTGGGATGGGGCATCCACAGCCTCTCTGGGCAATGAGTTCCATCATGACACCACCCTTGAAGCAAAGAGTTTCTTCCTCATACCTAATTAAACTTGCCCTTTGTCAGTTTAAAGCCTTTCTCCCTTGTCTTACCCGCTCCATGCTCTTCTAAAAAGTCCCTCTCCATCTCTCCTGTWGCCTTCATAGACACTGGAAGGATGCTTTGAAGTCTCCCTGGAGCCTTCTCTTCTCCAAGCTGAGAAGAGGTTTCCCTGAACCAATGAATCACACCCGTAATGTACCTTCCCTTGTTTCAAAAGACTTCATATTGAAAGGGTCCCAGCCTGCTCTGATTTTCCTCATGGGAAAGGTGCCCCACAGCTTCCATTTGCCTYTCCATGCACTTCTGAGCCTTCTTCAGCCCTAATTTAGAGGAGACCAGCACATGCAGTACAAGCAAATTGCAATAGCAGGTTGACATTTACTCGCTTCAGTTCCCATTCCCTTCCTAATCAATCCTAATATTTAATTCACTTTTTTTTGTGAATCACTGATGAGCACCAGGGTGACCCTGTTACAGATCCACCTTCCACACCCACAGTGGCCATGGCCAGCTCAAAGCCCACAACACGCATGGAGCCCAGATTCTCCATCACCAAAACAGGCATCACCAACAGCCACGGGCACCCAAAGTCAGTGGCCACTCTCTCAGTCGYGTAAAATCCCTGCTGACACAAACTGCACAACTCTCAATAACCTCTCATCAGCAGAATTGCTCAGCTCACTGTTCCCACTGCCCCTGGCAGCTGTGGCACTGCTGGTGGAAGTGCCAGACACACACAACCCTGGGCTCATATGGTATCTGCCTCACTATCTCCAAACCATGGTGGGCTGCAGCTCCACTAAATCTGACTCTGCTTGGGAACTYGAGCTACCAACGAGCAGCATGGTATGAACCTGAGACAGACTGTGCAGAGCTGTGCTGGAAACACAACTGGCAGTGCTGGCAGGACCCTCCCTTCCCTTTGTTCAACCATGTTTGTGCTACAGACTGTACCAGGCTGAGGGCATGAGGGGCAGTCTCTGAGAGAACACCCAGGAGACAAAGTCCATGTGTGAGCMACACTGGCTCAATTTTGTGGAATTGGCCACTCCAGGCTCTAACAATTAAACTAACRAGATCAATTACAGGGCAGAAGCAACTGCTCTGCCCTGTGCTTCTTCAAGCCCTAAGCAGGAATCACCACATGGACTCCTGCTGTCTCCCAGGCCTGCAAACACAACACAACAAAGCTGTGGGGTAGATTTTGTTCGCTCTGGCATATCCCAGAGGAGCCACAGTGCTGTGGGTGGCTGTGACTGGCAGAWGAAAGGCTCAGTGGAGCTGCAGGGACCTTTCTATGTTGCAAAGGGCCTGCATGTCCCAGAGCTCAGCAWAAGTCTTTTTCAGACTGAAATGCAGCCAACAAAGCCTGTGCAACTTCTGTAAAGGCTTCCTGAACATGGCTGGGCCTGGTACAGTGCAATTGCCTTGGTACATCTGAGGTTTAATCACAATTAAACTCAACCCCGGTGTCCTGTTAGTGCTACTGTCACTGAGACCTTGATTACAAGTAATGTGCCATATGCCAGCCTCTCCACTTACCCCAAATGTCCACTGCTGGGAGCCACCAGAGCCGTGGCATTTCATGAGACGAGGGGGATCAGACGAGCGAGTTTCCGAAACATCCAAACAAAGCAAGTTATTTAAAATCAGCTCGTGATCCTCATTGTAAATCCAGACCTGAAAGAGAAGACAGAAAGACATTTATCCCAAYGTTTCAGGGCAGTTTYCTTGAATCTTGTGTTCARCTACAGAGAAYGTRCTTCAGCATCTGGATGTCAGAGATGTGCCTTGAGTGAGTGSTGAGAATTGAACGCAGCCCCTTCCCTGGGGCCCACCTGCATGAAACAGGGATGCACTGGTTCACATTTGCAGCTTCAACTGCATTTGTTTTCCTGGATTTACATGACAGAAGAGTTTCTCTGTGATCACACTGAAAACCACTCTCAGCTCTAACAAACAGCAAGGACACACTCAAGCTGTCAGTCTGTCCTCTCCCACATGCTGCTTGAGCAGAGCAGCAGAGCAGGTATTTTTATTCTTGGCACAGGAAAGTGTCAGGCACCTTCAGTTGCTGCTGTTCATGCCCACACCCTGCTGGCTCTCAGTGGGCTGCTCTGAGCAAGGCACATCTGGCACAGCTGAGCATTCAGGGAAGCAGGAACAGCAGCCTGGTCCAACTGCAGGAATTGCTGTTTTCCCTCTCCTGTTCAGCTCCCTCATGCCTGCAAAGACCTGGGCCAAGATCAGTTGTGGCAGACCCAGAGCTCTCAAAACCAACAGGAGACTCTGAATCCCAAGCCAGAAAGCAAAGAACTGAAGGAACTTGGGGGTGTGCACCTTAAAATATCCTGCATTATAAACCAGTAGAGAAAAGAGAAGTACRTGGAAACTGTAGCTCTGCAGTGCAGGGAAGATCTTGGGACCCTCTGGCTCACCACCCTGTGACAGCTCTTCCAAAGGCACAGGGGWGCTGGACAGCACTTCCCAGCCTCTGTGGATGTTGAGAAAGACAACTCCATGCCTTCTGTCTGACCCTGTGAACAGGAGGAGCTGAGCCCCTCATACCTGTCCCTGAAGTACCTATAGACACACAAAGTTSTTCTGGTGTGGTTCCAGCCCTGCTCTCATTTCTCACAGCTCAGTGCTGCACCTGCCATGCCCACTGTGTGAGTGGTTTTTTTCTCCATTAAGTCTGCATGAGTTTCACAGTCAGAGTACGGAATATCAAATTCCAGGCAGGAAAGTCAGGCATATAAATTTTGATTTGTCTCTTTTTTTTGGTCTATAAAACTAAAAGCAGCCTCCTGGAGGGCACTGGGATTTGGAGCACAGCCTCAGCTGGACAGCATGACTGGAAAGCATACAGCTCATTATTATCACAGTGACTATTACAATACAAAGAAGGCCTCCTTGGAGAAATGCACKGATCACATTAAAATTGGCCCTAACCTCAGGCATTCTGTGCCATCTAATATACTCTTCTCTGTTTAAACCCTGTCATGAGAAAAAAGTATGGCAAGATTAAAGAGGGAGGAGAGAATGGAGAAATTGCAGGATTTGCCAGAGAGAATGACTGTTAAAAGAATAATGATGGAGCCAAATCCAAACAAGAGATGAACTGGTAAGAATGGAGAGAAAACTGCAGAAACACAGACCTTTAATCAAAAGCTGAGTAACAGCAAAACACGAAACAGTGGTTAAATCCAGTGTGATACTTCTTCAGAAAGGCTTACACAAGACAGCCAAAATTAATTTCAACCTAATTATGAGTTTAGTGTAGAAAACAAAGGAAAGAGGAAAAATAGGCTCAAATTTTATTCCAAATTCAGATTAGAGTATTACTRTGAACTTGCAGATTATTAACAGACTCAAGCACCAGGAAAGCAAAGCCACCCCCTGAGGTTTCTTTGTTGCACAACTGCAAGCCTTAGCATACTCCAAAAATTATTAACTAAGTCTCCGCTGAAGACTGGAAGGATGATGTTCAGCTCATGTTRTTAAAGGCTGTTGGGATCCACAGCCCCACATAGAAAAGAAACTGCCTGCTGCTGGCAGGTAGCACAGTATCCAAAGAGTATAAGCAGAAAGGTACCTTGCCAGGATTTATGTCTCATTTCTGAGAGATGTTATTTTATCCTCCTATTTATTTTCTACAAAAAAAAAAATCAAAATTTAAACAAATATCCCAAACCAAACAACAAGAACAACAACCAAACCCTCCCCACCAAATTTAATTTGTTGAAAAAAAAGAGGTGACAGATGAGGCACAGGGTATTTTCAACTTGCATCCACTTCCTAACTAGCAGATTTAGGAGAGCACCACTGTGAAGACTTTGATTTCTAAACCTGGGATTRTGTCCAGTTCCCACACACAGGAAAGTAGCACCTTTAAATTGCTGTCCCCAGAGACACATGGCAATGATCTGCTCCAAAGGTCAAAGGAAAGTCACTGGCCATTTTCACTGGTGTCAAGCAAAATCGATGGGATGCAATCAGACTATAATGAATCATTTCTGTTTTCAAATAAAACCTAAATGGAAGATGTTACAGGAAAAAAACCTCTCTCCAAAATGAAATTGATCATGTTTGTGGTTAAAYAAACTACTTAAATTGGTGAATGCTGTAGGACTGGCTTCTTTCTAGCAGCTTTTTCTCCCTGCCTCTCAACACAGGCAACAGGATAAAATGAAAGGTGTATGAACCCCTTCAGGCAGGTGCACAGTATGTGCTAGAGTAGATCTTGTGGACAAAATAAACAGGAGGAGGTCCAAAGTATGAGCTCTGTTAATCTAAACTTCTTTTACACCGGTTAGTAAGAATTGGATGTTTAATTCAGAGCCCTCAAAATGTAGTTTAAGCTATTTACAGATTTAAGACTGAGGCTTCCCAGGACTTCTAATACCTTCAGGACTTTACTTCATCCATATAACTCAGRCAAATCAGACACCCTTCTCCTGAATTTCAAAATGATGTGAAATTAACCAAGAAGCATCCACCTGCCCTTTGGCTTTCAGAGATTACTGGAGTGCAGCAAAAGGCATGGCTGGCCAACTGGCAAAGCTTTGTGGATACACATTTTTATTTGGTCAGCGAATTGCATTAGCACTAGAGAAATACATTAAAAAGTTTTCAATAAATACAAGATAGTAACTACTGCAGAAACAGCCCTTTGTTGGAAAGAAAATCCCTGCCACGACCCATTCTAGTATTCCAGTACTTCCATCAGTTACAATCTGTTGCTTAGTTTGGCACTTCGGTATCATTCTGTCAGACAGTTTGTAAAAGATTAAAATTCAACTTCAGAGCACAAAAAAGCCTCAGCCCTGAGGAGGGGATGTGTCCAGCAATTTGCACCATCACATCTGTCTGCAGATACTTCAGCTCCCATTGTTCCCATTGATAGCAATGACATCACAGCACCAAACAGCCTGTGACAATCACCACAAACAGCCAGGTTTGCTGGTCTGTAATTATTGTTTGAAACTATTGCTACCTTAAAAACCCAACATCCTCCTGAAGGTCATTCCAAAGCAGGGATGTGCYTCCTGCTCCACACCTCAGTGTGCCACTGATGTTTCATGACAATCGTTAGAGGCACCAAAGAATTGTGCCTTCAATAGCAAATGGAAAAGCAGCAAGGGGCAATTTGCACATCTTCACATTCACTCCAGACATGTGCTGTGTCAGAAAAACGAACTATAAACCATGATCTAGAGATTAGGGAGAAAGATCTTATCAGGAGAATTGCACAGGGGAGCAAACCCTTGTAGTCTCTGAGTCTTAAACAGTTTGTAAAGCACATATTCTTACATTTCTTAAGAGCTACAGGAGTGTTAACAGAGCTTTTCTGAAGTCCTGTGCTTGAGTACATTATTTTTTCAAGGTTCAGAGCACAGATGCCTTTTCTGTCACTTCAGACCTCTGTTCTATAAGATCCCATCACCTCTTCTACTTGTGCTATTTCAAACAAGATTTTCACCACTTATTCCTTTTTTTCTGTTCAGTCTCCAGTATTATCCCAGATGGATAGTTTCTGTTACAATTAGTGAAGCATCCCAGTTTTCACTATAACTTAAATATTTTTTATGTAATTTCTAGATATGRGAACCACTTCCCTTATTACTTTTCTTTCTATAGCAAAAATACTGAATGTCACTGTCATGTCAAGCCTGAGAAACAGGACACTGTGATGTGCTTGATTAATTTTCAACATAATGATGACCATCTAAGTCAACTACAATAAAAAGGATCACCCACAATGCTGATACCATTGAAAGCTACACAATACCTGTTATTTCTTTCAATCCTAGAGTTAAGTGAGAATTTGAGAAGTTGAAATTCCTTAGCAGCCATGAAGGCTTGAGAAAACAAAGCAAGCATAAGCTGAAGGCAAAACAGACTTGCTTCCAAGGCCRGTCCCATGACTTTAGAGACTGCTCAGCCCTCACACACATTCACCAGACCAAACACAAGCTTTTTTCCTGAGGACAAAGGCATAAAACAGATAATTCTAGAACAAAACAAACTGAAAATGCCAATGAGTTAAGTGGAACAGCAGTTAAAAGCTTCCAATAGTCAGGATCTTTCTTGCTATTTTTATAACAGAAGCTGTTAAATGAGTGTCATCTTTCTCTACATTGTTCTCATGTATCTACAGCAAGATTGTTCAAGAGGTTATGACAGAAAGTTGGCTGAATGCACTCTTGGGATTTATTAGAGAACAAAATAAGRCTAATAGCAGAAAAACGTAGTGTTGGTTGACATACTTGGTTGGAGAACAAAATCATTGTGAAAGAAGATAGCACAGCCAATTTTTTTATGAGAGCTAATTGCTAAATTTACCACTAGTAAACCAGATTCATGAGAAAAGAAGCCAAAGATCAACCATCAGAGCACTAATTTGTCTTTCTCAGCACCAAAGGGCTAACTGAAATTTGCTCTCCTGGATTAAAAAAATCAGAAAAAGGTTTGCAAACCAAAAGACTTTCTCCTTCAGGCATGCAGCACTTCATTATCAGAAATACTGTAGCAAGGAGAAGGCAAGCCTAACTGTGTGGACATCATGCCCAGGCAGTGATTTTTGCTTTCTCACCCACAGGCTGAGTGGCTCAGAAAGCAGAACTGCAGCTTTGGCACTGCAAATGTACAACCACTGGKGCCCTTCAGTTACTATTACATTTACAGTCTTTACATTTATGAGACTTGCTGAGCATCTTACTGCTGCTGGAATAGATCACACAGGAAAACCTTCGTTCCCCATTCCAGCTTTAATTAATCCACCTTTGACACAGGGGCTCACAATCTGGTCATAGTGATGATTTCTCARTGCTCCAGAGGTGAAGTACAGGGATGTATTCCTTGCTCCTGTCTGATAACYGAACTGGAAGCCACATGTCTAGAGCCAGCCACATTTATCCAGCCAACAGCAAACACCCCTCACACCGTGCTCCTCTGCACACTCAGCTGGTGAGGCCACAAGCAGGAAGCAGAAAGTCCCATTAAGATACAAAGCACACAGCATTTTGTACAAATCACTCTGCTTCCACTGCTGCAATTTCCATATCCTGAAAACTACTACCATGTCATAAAGTGTCAAGTTAGTCCAGCATAACCCACCTTTACTAAAGCTATACTGCATTACATCTCTTGCTCCATTTATTTTGTGTCTTTGAGTACTTTTCTCTTTAGCTCCAACCTAGCTTTTAGAATTGGGTCCCATCRGCTCCTAAATCATAATGCTTTCAGTGTGGTTCTTAGCTAGGGAAGTCTTTATRGCATTAGCTGAAGATCTCTCTACCCCAGAGACTTTTTATCCAAATCCTGAATTTCTGTCACYGGAAAGAAGTGAAACAGCAAATGCTTCATGTAGCAATACAAAAAATATCATTAGGTTTTCACATCCATCCCTAATTAATTTCCAGATCAGCAATTCACCTGCAGCCAAAGAATCTTCTATATTTTTTCTGTTTAACAACAAATCATTTATTCACCCCAAACTACAGCCACTCCAGCAGCAGAGGACTGGCGGTACAGTACACAAACACCAGCAGGGCAGGAAAAAGCTGCTTTAAATTCCAGTATGAGGAACCAACTGAATGAGCTGCTACAAATGCTGAAGTGCCAATCAGTGGATTATGAACCCATCAGGAGCCACTTTAGGGCAGCCTTCAGCCAAATACAGAGATTCAGGCCATAAACGAGATTATAATATCCAACACTCAGCATTAATAGGAGCTCCACAGTGTCCTTGGCCAGCCTCGTGGTTTGAACACCCTCTGCAATCAGCCTGTTTGGTGATGAGATGTCACACAGGGCACTTTGCCAGCAGCAAAACATATCTGGCATTTCTACATATCAATCGCTATTCAATATAATTGGGAATCTCATACCTGGTTCTGATCGTTGTAGTCACATTCCCGAACCACCACCAGGCCTCCTTTCTGACTTGGATGGCCCTGGGCCACCAGGCATTTGTTGGTTTGGAGGTGATACAGCTGTGAAAGGAAAACAGTTCGATAAAGTAAACAACAGTCCTAGAGCTCAAAGCGTGCTCAAAGCCCTAGATCCCTAGTGTACTCAAAAAAATCAGCCAACAATTCCAGTAATAAAAAATCTTCCCTTTTAAAATGCCATCCTGTTTTTCAGCTAATTTGGAGAAAAAACTGCATTAAACTGTTCCAATTTACTTTCTAATTACATCAAGATTTTGCTCTCTGGTATTAGTGCAGTACACACACATTCTGGCTCAGCACTTGCTGGCTGTACTCTGTCAAGGCTTTTTTCCCTCTTCATTCTCCATGAAAGTCTGAGATCCCAGATATTCTGCTCAGGAATATGGATTGTACTGTATAAACWGCATTTTACTACAGTTTAGCTTAAACTAAGTCTCCTCCTACAGCCTCTCTTCATGGAACAGGACCGCCTCCCTGAGAAAGGAGACGAAATTACAGAAATAAAAACAACTTCAGAGATTTATGTTGTTTGCAAATTGATTTTCAAGAGCACTTACGTAATTGAAAAGCCAAAGTTATCAGCTAGAGTATTTTACTGATGGATCAGGGAAGAAGAGAACATTTTACAAACACACACATTCTATTTTTACTTAAATGCCCTACCTAGCCTGATTTAGGGGAATGGTGTATCAAAGGACTGAATTCAGGTCAGAAGCCTGTCCTGAGATACAGAACTTAAGGCATCTACCATCAAAGTAAACAAGGAGGGTCTCAGCAAGCTGGCAATCTCTCCTGATTTGAACAGTGATGCCCCACCCTAAGAGACACCCAAGACATTTTCTGCTGTAACAAAGGTTCGTTTGCTCTATTTCAAGGATCAAAAAAATCATCAAGATCTTGATGTATCTCCACAGAGATACTCAGGGAGACAAAACACCTCTAATTCTGGCTTTAAATTACACACATGCCATGAACTAACTGCTGGCCAGCAGGAGACTTGTTTCCAGCCTGATTATTTTTCTTCCCCTGATGTGGTGGGGATCAGGCTATTCAGGCAGCAAACACTGYCTGCACACCATGAGCTGAGAGATGGCAGGGCCACAGATCTGACACCCACATTAAAAATACTTATTTCCAATCTGGAGCTGGATGTAGAGGAAAAAAGAATTTACTATTCTGAACTCCAGGCCAGGCTGATTAACTAGCCAGCTGAATTTTATTATGAAGACATCCATAGCTGTCTTGGCATTTCTATTTACTCTACAAATTTTTARAAACCAAAATACACTTCCAGTAATAAAAGGAACAAACTGCTCAGTCACATGATAGCAACAATTAGCACAAATAACACTTTTCAGAAAACACCATTTCTGGAAATAGCTGTCCCAAGGCACATCAATAATTGCCTTGAGTGCACCATGTTTCTCCTGTTCCCTACACACATCTAAAACAAATTACACAAAACATTCTAAGCAACATTTCCTCACACCCCAGATCTAGCACAGATCTCATTTCCATCATTCCTCACTCGACAGAAGGCTTTTAAACCATACACTACATGAGTTTTATATGCTTTCTGTCCTTGTTTTTATTGGCCATGATGACCAGCATTGGATAACACTGGTAACAACTGCCACCATTTGTGATCATTACATTTCTTCCCAGCTGTCCAACCAGCACTTATCTCTGGCCCAATTAATTTTTGAGAATAAACTGAGATTTGGAGTGATTCCTCCCAAATCCTAAAGAGTCTGGCACRCAGTGGTGACATTGGCTGATCGTTCTGTTCCTTGCAGGCATCTGGAAATAGTTTATACAATCCTCAAAGCCAAAACTGACTCTCTCATACAATGCTGGGTATAATTCTTGAATCCAGAGAACCAAGCCAAGGAACTGCTTTTTTTTTTTTTTTTTTTTTTTTTTTTTTTTTTTTTTTTTTGCTGCTTCTCCCCACTTCTTAAAGGGTACACAAAGTTTTTTTCAAAATTAAAGCATGGTAAATAACTGCTGGGAAGATTTATCCTTAAGTGCTGCTGAGATATTCAGATCCCTCAAGTAGCTCTCTCCAACATCAACAATTCCTCAGTTAACTTTCTGTCTGAATGAAAACAGAAAGCTATTAAATTTTTTAAAAAGGAGAAAAAAAAAAGGTCTCACTAGAGTAGTAACAGCATCCAACAACTAGGAGAATCAGCTCATTGTATCAGTTTTATTCAGGGAAACCACAAAACTAACTTCACAGCTTGGCTGGGATATTGCTATAAAAATACTGCACACTTGGTGGATTCTCAGACAGCTSCTTCCAAGCAAAAAATCTAATGGTGTCAATAGGTCGTGCATGAACACAGGTCCTCCTGGCTCACTTCTTGCTGAACCAGCAATTGTCAGCAGCTACTGTAGCCTGTCCCCCCTGTGGGGACATCACTACTTAGTGCTTCCAACTACTGAGCCAAAAAAGGAACCTGCTAACTATAATCCATGTGCACATTTAACAGCTTACTGCAGAGTATTCTCTTTCACAGAGAAGACATTGAGAAAGTTGTCTTGGGTTTGAAGCTATCCACTATTTTTGGGAAGCATAAAAAGCACACATCTTGTGAATCTGACACCTGGAAAGAGCAGWTGCGACTGTCTGGTGGCTTTGCCTGCATACAAACTCATAAGCAAAGGTGTCAGTTAAAGCATGAATTTAATCATGACTTCCTTCATGAATGCACATAGAAAATTCTCTCTTCACTTGAAGAAGAAAAGAGAGGAGAAAAACTCATTTTTTGTTCATTATGTAACAGTCAAGACTAGAAAACCCAGCAGCCTCAGATGCAAATGTTCACCTTTGCAGAAAATTACCCMGTAAAAGCAATGAGTTTGGAAACTAATTACACTGCGCTCTTATCATAACCCACCAGAGYGTGAATATTTGAGGCCAAATCTCTCTCCTCACATCCATCTTCAGAATCAACACCCATGAAGGTGCATTCTAAAGACAGCAAAACTTCCTAACTCAGAGCTTTGAGGTAAGAAACCTCAATGAACAGTATCTAGTCTGACCTGAAATACAGATCAGAGTGAAACTTATTTGACAAAATTTTGTTATTTTCAAGACAGCTTGCTGCAAAACTTATGGAAACAGACTATTGTTGTTGTATTTGAGCAAATCTTTAAGAAAAAAAAAAATCTCATAATAATTAACACACCATATTTTTATATATTTAAGTTTCTCTTACCCTTCCACGCTGGATTATTTTTGGTCGTTTCTGCGCTCTGTTAATAAAAACTGGCTGTGGAGCTTTGGCATTGGGCCCAGATATTTGCATCTCAGGATAGATGTTATCTAAATACCACTTAAATGACTTGCAGTTCAATCTCTTCCTCAATTCTACACGGTCAGTGATATTTCCATAGGTCCTCATCCTCAGCTCAGGTCTCAAAGCAAAATACTGCTCCTGTATTTAAGAAAAAAAGGTCGGGGAAAAGTGAAGAGGAATTTCAGATTACTAATTTCCAATTTTTTCCTGTTTCCAGAACTCCTAAAATTTCATTTCATTTTGCTAGTGCTTTCAACCAGTAAATCTGAAACTGGCAATAGGAAATTGCAATGCTTGGATTGCCACAGAAAGTGAGATTTAATCTTGCCTAACCCTGAGCTAATCTTTCTAGTTRAGGGTTTTCTTTTGATGAAGAAACTTCTTAGGTAAAAAATTTGCTGATCTTTTTAACATGCCAACTTGAGAAWGAAACAAATTAATCCCTGACTTTACTGCCATTGGCAATACAGACATCCTAGAGTCATTAACTAATAAACAGATGCATGTATCATCAGCAGCCTCATCTGACAAAGGTTCCTTGAAAGTATTTTGATTGTTCAATGGATTGCTTTTGTTATTGTGGGATTCAAATGTGTTTTGTCTTGCACAGTTTCCAGCTTTCCAACTTTACAAATGATCTGGGTAAAACCATCCAGAAWAGACCTATAAAGGGAACTATCTCATGAAGTTCAGTGGGACCACTCCTTATTCATGTGAATAATCAGAACCATCACCTGGGCTTTCTGGGAAGCCCCATTTTTCCCATCCATCTGCATCATCTCCAGAAAGACTCCCACAATGTTATTTTTTTCACATTGTATTTTATGATGATACTCAGAATCTTACGGACTAGACAAAGGCAGATTAAAATTCCAACCCAAACATACGTGCTGCCTGAGTGTAATGCAGAGACAATGGGGACAAACAGAAACCCATGAATGTGCAATGTGACATGAATACTAWTGCTAAAACTAAGGAATAAAATCCYTTTTTATCATCTTTAATTCCAGAAAGATTTACTGAGCTCATAGACAAGGCACTTTATTTTCACATTAATTTGTTTATTAGGTACYATTTAGAATTCAATTTTCAAGGCACTGAATTATGGTATTTTGTTGGATTCATCTCCAGCAGATATCACCCACCATGATGTGGTTTCGACAGTTTCCAATTACCTCCTGCCATCTGATAGTAAGATGACAGACAGCATCACCTCTGGACAAATTACATATCTGTCCAGCATTTGCATGTGCTCAATGTATCACTGCTATTTTAAAAGTAGATGAAAGGGAAACGTGTATGTGGTATACATTGGACAGTTGGCCAACTTTGAGCAAGTCTGGACACAGACTGGACATTAGGATCAGCAGAAACTGGTCTGCTCCAAAAAGGAGCTCTGCTATTCCAATTGCCTCTTTCCTGGCTGAAGTTCAAATGTTGGTATCTCACCTTTTATSTTATTTATTACCACTGTATACATGAATTTACTACTTTTGCATTTTGCTTTGGACAGTTTTAAAAATTTTGCTGAATCACTTCCTTTATGCCGTTTTATTAAATACTGATATTTGCTCCTTTAAGTCTTATCTGTGTACTGTGCATCATTAGATTGTTTTGTTAAATTATACTGGTCCTAAATATTTGCATTATTCTTATAAAAACCAAAATATTTCCRAGCTTGCCTTCCATACACTAAAACAAACTGTCATGGTGACAGTCTCTGGCAACTATCAGAGAATCAGACTAGAAACAGCTGGAAATGTTCTGGAACCAAATCTGTGATAAGAAACTCCTAGAATCAGCAGTTCAAGTGCTTGCTGGATAAAGCAGTATTAGATGGAAATTATGACAAAGAATCAAGTCCAAGCTTCAGAGAAAGCCATCATTAATCACAAAACAACTGTGCCCAGACATCAAAAAAAGGGAAAGTGATAGATCAGATATACCAAAGCATTACACAGATGAAGAATGGAGATAAAAATTAATGGGCTCTAATGGATTCCTCAAACCGAACATCAGGGTAAAGGATGGGGTTTGAAACATAAATCTTTAAAGAAAATAAAATTAATATGCCTTGTATAGAAATTGTAGGGATCACAGCAGCTGAGCATATAGCAAATGCTATGGTCTCAGAGGGCAAAATGTCATTAAGTATCTGAGAGATGAGGGATTTACAAACACCTGATCTATGCTCAAAGCATTAGTATCAYGATCTGAAGACAAGGAAGGAATACACTTGCCCTTGGATCCAGAAATCAATCCTGATTGCTCTTCCAGGGCAAGACAGACTAAGAAGCAGATTGCTAATTAAAACAGAAAGCAAACAAGCAGCCAAAAAAAACCCTGTCTCACCAACATGGAAATTACCTGAAGGCACATGGCAGCACATGGCTGCCACATAATACTGATTTGGACACAAAGCAATGTAGAGCTTGCAAAAGCTCATCCATCATCTTTTACTTCACTAAAAAGGCATAAAACTCAACTCCYGCAGGCAGCAAAGTAACAGGGAGGCAACTTGAGCACTCAAAAGCCAAATGACAATTCTACAGAATTTAGGAATTCCTATCAAAATTAACATTAGGAAAGCAGAAGGAAAACCCCATCAGAGGTGTGACAGATCCCAGTGTGACACAGCCCTTGACAAACAAGCCAGTTAGTAACCATTAATAACCTTATTTCATGACTTAGAATTGTCTCTTACCTTGTATTCATCCATCCACACATGTGCCAGCCTCAGTGAGTTATGAGCCATGGTATCCTGTCCCCCAGGTGAGCCATAGGGACGCCTCTTGCGGAAAATGTGTCCCACCCTGGAGCAGGGGATGATCAGAAGTCTGCCACCACACATCCAGATCTGTCCATACAAAAGCAGAACATGCCTCATTGTTCAGACCGCTCACYACCTCCTCCCCTTCTTCAAGGGATACTTTGGTAGAGTTACACATTATGCAGGATTAGCAGTGCTGSCCCATGTCATGTTTTCTGACAAATTAAATTTTTAGATCTTCATATTACAAAAGACTGTTTTTCTCATATGACCACACCTTCCAAAAAATACATCATGGCTTTCCAGAGACAAACAGAAAATTTTCTAAAATGTTATGCTCTAGCAACCCATAAGAAAAGACTGGGATATATGGGCTAGGATTCATCCTGCAGATTGAGTTCCCTAAACTGATTTACCTGCATGAAAACCATCCACAATTATGTGACAGATAATAAAGATCAGTCCATGTCATCAAGGGAGCTTGGAGAGCTTTTCAACTAAGTATGGAAACTTACTGGACAGAGCTGTCTCTGTTAAGATACAGGAACTCAGAAACACTGTTATCATTCAGATGCTACATTTAGGAGTCTTAATCCATGGCACCACATATCTACATTTTATTTACACTCTACTTCCATTTCTTTTTTTAAATTTTCTTTTTAACATCATCTTCCAGCAAATTACCAACACTGGCCCTTCACTGGACTAACATGTCCTCCGATGCCAGAAAATCTCCTCACATTAGCAGTTTATTATCAAGTCACTTTTAAAACTCCTTCTAGACAATATAAAGATTCAACTTCTTTCGAACCCTCCCCCAGGGAGACAGGGAATTCCAGAAGCTCTAAATTCTCTGAATGTAGCCCAAGTTTTCAAAGCCCTTTTTGTTGAAACTGTRTATTATAAGGTAACAACAATCATGTCCTCACATGCAACACACTTCTATGCAGATATGCAGATATCTAAGAATTACATTTATACAAAAATGGAAAGATTTTATTTATTCAGTACACACTCCTTTAAAGTCACTCARATTTATGAAATTCCAGTTCTTATTTTTGAACTCTAATCTTGACTTCTCCAATTGACAGTTTTCTCTAAAGTTTTGGGAGTCCTGTGTCTGGTTTTAGGTTGTTTTTTTTTAATCCCCTTTTCTTATCTGTTATGATAGTATATAATTTTCAGGTAGACTCGTCAAACCTGTTGATAATCCACTTTACAAAAGTAAAGAGGTAACCATGACATTGAGCACAASTAATTGCAACAAGTAGTTGCTTTTCTTTCAATGGAGTGACAGGGAAGAAGAGATAAAATACAGGAAGGCCAATGCAGCACCCTTTTCAAGTCTTCTGATTATGATCTTCTCATTTTTTCAACCAAGCTGACTTCTCCACATGACTCTCAATTTAGTTCCACAAGAATTTACATTTCCAGGTCCTCAAAAAGGAGGCTGAATTGTCTAAAATGTTCCACAGGCCAGGCATCTAAGGAAATATGCTAAGCTTACCTATAAGTGATACTGCTGTGAACCACACACCTCCAATCAACTTGTGAAATCCATCAGATATCACTTATAAACTAATTTCAAAAACTTGTATGATTATTCTTTTCCTATGCTTCTTTATAGCTATTATGAAATGCTCCACCACCAAACAAACAAAAAGCCATGAACATTTAACCACAGAGCTGMAAATTCTCTGCTTACCCGAAAAGATATTTCCAGGTTTTCTCCTCCCCAGATGTCCATGCCACTGTCGTACTGTCCGAGCTCATTGAAGTACTCACGATCCATGGCAAACAACCCTCCAGCCATGGTAGGTGACCTAAAAAGGTTCATGGAAAGAAGATAATTTTCTTTTAGGGAGAGAAAAAGCCCCACAAGAGCAATTTTTGCTGAATCTGCTAGTTCCAAAGGACAAATTTAAATCTATATAACACAATTTAAATCCTTTGGTCACTCGACATCAGTTCTAGTCTCAAAACATTTTCAAAAGCGGATCTGTAAGTGGTTTTTGTGATCTTCCATTGTTAAAATACCTATACATTGCATAAACTTGAGTAAAAGGGATAGGACAGGAAAAGAGGAATAACAAATGCCAGAGGCACATTGTTTCATCACTGACTCAATTATCAGTTTACTGGCAAGTAATTTACAGTTTGTGAATTTATACAGATGGTATAAAGTTTTTCACCTTGCCTGTGTGTTACTAGAAGGTGTTCTATTTTCTAAAAATCTGCATATGATCCACACTGTTCAGTCTCTAGACTCAGTTGCTACTGTACCATAACACCTGAATATGTGGACGACCTACGAGAGTACAAAATAGTAAAACCACTATGTCGTATCGTATAAATACACGATATGATTGGAACATCCAATGGGATGGGAAAAAACCTTTTTCCAGATGAAATAAATAAAAATCCTGTAAATAAAATCCTGTGATGAAACCAAGCCCAGGTCAAGATTTCATTGCYTGTTCTCACACAAATTTCTACTACAGTTTCTGTCACCTTAAAACCTCGGTTGAAAGTTGCTCTCAATTTTTCCACTGACACCAAAAATATTTCATTTTTGAAAATGGTCTGCAAAATGCAAAACTTTCTGTTGGACGGAAAGCCATTTTCAAAAGTTAAATAGCAATCTAGCTCCTTTTTCAAAGGAGGCAGAGACCTTTAGGTAGGAAAAAAATCACTTACGTACTCAGAAAATGTAATCTTTTCAGAGTATTACACTCACTTTAACCATAAACTTCTCWGTCTTTTTACCATGAATGTTTTTCATAAAAAATGAGTTGAAGGAATGCAACAACAGTATTGAACACAGCAAYAGCTAACCTTCAGCCACTGACCAAATTCAATGTGAATGTAGCTCTTAACAGAATATGGATTTTAAGACTTGATGCTGATTCCCCACTCAGATTTTTTTCAGCCTGTCCTTTCCCTTCAGAAACTGCCACATTGACACTCTCCAAACAAGCCAAACTTAAATAACTTGATAAGTTTCCTGGCTTCTTGTGATGGGGAGACATGGAAAGACCAACTGCAGTGCTGTCACATGGCAGCAGAGAACCTTGTGCTGGAACTGTTTGGGGCAGCCTAGAATGCTCTGCATTTACAGCCCAAGAAAAGAGAATGAGATGAAAACACACCCAATTTCTGATTCACTTGGCAAATCTTACCCAGTTTGTAAAAAAGTTGAAGTTCCTCCACCTGACAAAACTGAATTCTGTACTGAGATTGATCCCTGCAACTAGGAAAATAACAATGAGCTTCTTGCCTTTGCTGTAGCAGCACTGTTCTWTTCATGAAGGAATTCACTTGGGACATCTTGTGTCTGAACTGTACATGACTGCTGCTAATAAAAGGTGCCTGCTGACACCTTTTTAYATTAGTTACATGTCTACTAGAATCAGATATTGCCAGTTCTGTACAGGTCACACAGCTATCAATGGTTAAAAGATGAAGAAAGGTGACTTTCAAGCCCCAGTGTTGAGCTTTACAGAGACTTTTGTTTCAAAACAACTCACAAGACTGCAAAGACGAATTCAAATTTCCACAATCATCAATTTTCCCAATCAAGCAATTCTTTAGCATTTCAGTACAGGAATTACAGAGTCCATAGAGTCGATATTAATAGGATATGTAGGCTACTCCTAGCACGACAGTATCAAAATTATCTTTAAATCAAGTATATCAGACTGGAGACAAACATCAATGCATAGCTCAAAAGTGAAATTATTGGACAGGTTTAATACAGAATATCACAAGCTCCTTCAGACTTTTGTCTTCTAAAAAATGCTTATATGCAGCTTTCACTGAAGTGTGCTTTCTTGACCTAATAAAACAGATCTACCTAATTCATGATAGAATGCAAGAAATTAAACTAAAATAGTTTTGGTTACTGTTACCTATTTCTAAGTGAAGAAAACAAGTCAGCAGGTTTTGACTGGTTAGGAATCTGCTTCTAAACCTGCACACCCAGAGAACATTCTGTAATACTTAAGAAGTGCTTCTGACCACCCCTGTGATACACAGAGCTTCACACCACAGAGGAGGAACCTTACTTGATTGGAGCAGTGGCTCCCTCGGGTCCTTCCAGTTCTGACAAAGGAACAAGGTCCCATTTGAAGTGCAGGCCCCAGTTAAAGCCCCCACGCACAACAGGGGAGGAGCTGTAGGTGAGGGTGTCAGCACTGATGATGTCAATCACAGGGCACACCACAGTCCTRCGATTCTCTCTGATGGGAGTCAGCAGAGGCTGCAACCACATTTCATTCACCTCACAGTGACTGTCCAGGAACACCAGCACTTTCCCTAGAGAGACCAAAGAACATAAAMCACAAAAATCCATGAAACACAAACACACATGCACCAGACAAAGCCATACTTATCAAGTTACATGGATATTGTCTGCCCCAGGCAGTAAGAACTGTTTGGTCTATGACACACCCTCATGCTCATTTCATCTAAAAAGGCATCAGCATCTGTATGACACAACACAAAATTTATGTAACAGTAGAATAACATGGAAGAGATGGGGAAACAGCTTTAAAGAAAACAACTTTGGAGCACGCAAATACAAGTCACCCTGCAGACAATATTTGACTGGGCACGGGGATGGAACTCCAGCAGCTCAGAAGAGCAATAAAATTACTTAAAATTGAACTAAGTCAAATGAATTTTAGCACAGTTTGGAAAATGCAAGTACAATCTTCTCTCTGGACTATATCATTACAATGCTAATGAGTAAACACCAATTAAGAGACCTATCTGCCACTCAAAATCATTTAAGAAAGTAGCAGACACTTTCTCAGATGCCWAAGAATTTATTTGAAAGCACAATCTGGTAAAGGCTGTTTATAAAACGCCAAATATCAGCTTTCCCAATCAACACCAACTGCAACAGAGGAGCTTATACAAGAAAAATTGCTATTAGATTTGAGAATGAGAAACCAGATTAGTGTACCTTAAAAGGGAGCAGATTTCCTTTTAGAGCAGAAATTTGCACATAAAACATGAAAAAAAATATCCTGCAACTACAGTATCTTGACTACATGGAGATGTTCCTGAGACAACATTCTTTCAAGGACAAGAAAAGGAAAAACTAAATTGTCTCTGACACTGCAGTCATTTTTTCAGATAGTGCAGGGGAAGATTTGGGATGATGGTAAATTGTGTTAGTAACTTTCAATAAAATTAGTTAYTTTTTTAGAGCACAATACTGGTTTTGTTTCACAATTTTATTTATCCACTCCAACAAAACACCTCATTTTATTGAAAGCAAATGTCTCCAAGAAGAAAAAAAACAGCATCAACAGTTGAGACACTCAAAGTGTCTCAAGGTTTACAAACCACTCCAATTTGGATCCAAATTCGCAGTTACTGCAGTTATTATTTTGAGATAGTGCAGGGGAAGAAAGATTTGGGATAATGCTAAGTTGCGTAGCTTAGAGTGTGACATGACAAGCAGAACCCCTATGGTGTGCTAAAGTAACCAGGTCAAACACTGAACAGCTGAAAAGCTGCACTACAAAAAGAGAAGTCATCCAATCTACTTACTGTCAAAGTATGCAAGGAAAAGAGAAATAAGCAASGGTACCTGTGGCATGAGAGGCTCCAATCATCCTTCCTCTGATCAAGCCTTCCCTCTTCTCATTTCTTACCAATTTTGTAGATTTTGGAAGCTGAGTTTTAACATAGTCACCCAARTCTTTTTTCAAGTCAGCTGAGAAAAGGAAAACACAAGTTCAACAACAGGACAGAAATTCTGACCACTTCGTTTAAAGTCTCAAGACATTTAACTCTAAAATGGCCAAAATTTTGATCAAAAAGTTACCCTGACAGACCACAGCTTCAAACACAGAGTGTCAAAAAGACAGTCACTCATTTCACATCCTACACTTGCCCTCCAATGCCTTTAGTGCACTATTCAAGTTAAACGGAACTACTAGAATTAAAAAAAAAGTGCTGTTCAAAGAAACACATTTCCCAATTCTTCTCATGGCGACTCACATTTGCAACAGATGCAACAATAAATACTTCACACAGGCAAATGATTTAAATTACTACATTGCATACATRAGAACAAATGCTCACACCTTTCAGAAGAAGCACAAAGACACCCTGTATTATCTGTATGCTTAGCTGACAGAACAACAGATACAAAGTCCAACTCCCTCACAGCTGGTTGATTTTCTAAAACCCRAAAGGATCAAAGATTCTGCCTCCAAGCCTGTGCTTTTGAAGAAGTGCAGAGTTTACTGAAGTCTACAGGCACTACTGTAACTTAGAGAACATCAATGGCAATTTTAAGAGCAACAATACTTCTTTCACCCAAGGTCAATGGTTTCTAACATTAAAGCAGGACTACTGAAGTGAAGATGGACACATGAAGATTGAAGTAATGGAAAAATGTAAGTTAATAAGCTTATGGAGACATAAAATGGAATATACAATGGGAGAAAAAACAAAAGCCCAACTGTGACTTCACAGAAAACCTTAGTATAGAGAGGCACACACTTTCATCAGAGGATATGCCAAAATAAACATAATTCTGATGAACGTMAGATCAAACATTAAAGTTGCTGTTAATAAGATTAAATGCCAAGGGAAAATTTGTGAAAATCAGAGCTGTAACCTTCAGGAGCAATAAGAACTTTCAGGCAGGAGATACCCAGATGCAATTCCAAATGTTAAGATGTCAGCCTTTGCACTGCTAGGACACATGGTGGRTCAAAAGTGAGAAGGCAACACATAACAAGTGATGCGAGAGAATACTCCAGCACAAAGGAAACTTTCTGRGGAGATACCACCAGAATTCATTTGGGTCACAGGAATTCTCTCCYTGGTTTGGATATGGTATCTTATGCCAGAGCCAACAAGGAAGAGGTTTTCAAAAAAAGTCTCCTAGAAAATTGATAATTAAAATAACCTCTAAGGTGCTTCCCAAAGGAGATGCCCAAATAAGCAGGACAGACAGATTTACAAACTGAAAATAAAATAGTGCTTGAATCACTCTTCACCTCATGCAGTACAACCAGGAAAGAACAGTGTACACCTCCAGAAACAGTTGGGCCAGCACAAAGCATAAAAAGTCAGTTATCAAACTCAGCTCTTACACCAAATGAGGCAAATAAACGAGGAAAGAGTTTCGCATCTGCAAACTTCTGAAAACAAAAGAAAAAATTAARCAAAAAAAGTCACATCCATACCAAGAGCTAAACCAGGCCCAGAATATTGGCTTGAGCAGCAGAATATAAGAGCCAGTAGAGTTTTGACCCAGRGAAAATGGCATTCTGCTGGAAATTGTGCCCGGGCCACCCTCAACAGACAGGTTTGTCTCAGACACCTTTTGGGATTTTTGCTGTTGATGGCTTTTTTTGTGTGTCACCTTCATGTCTACTGGGAAGACTAACTACTGATACAACCCAAAAAATTACTTCAACACAGCCTGTCTGAGAAATTTTGCTCCAAGGAGAGAATTGCTCCCTTTTAGCCAGTTTTCAAAAATTACTTTAGGCATTACCTTCTTCCATATCTACACAACGAACGGTCCTGGAAAAGCAAATGGAACCTTGGATGGGAGTCTGGAGCGTTATTATTTTGAACTATTCTAAAGCACTGAGTTGCAGACAATTTGCCCCTTTTCTGTTCTTCACTCTCACCTTTTACGTAGAAGAATGCCTCCAGTAACAGCCTTCAAAACATATCYTCAGGCTTTCCCATAACAGGTTAAGACTAAATCAGGGAGAAAGMGATTATACCAGAAAAGAAATCCTGCCTTTCAGGGAATGGAAAAACAATACAACAGTAGGCTCAGCTGAGCCACAGCAATGCCTGCTTAGCCAGTAAGACTGTTGATGATTGAGTCTAAAATGATGATTGAGGCAAAACTAGGTGCAAAGGCCCAAGGTTTGCATAACAGCACTGTGTGCAGCACAGGTCTCATATTTACAGCTGAAGAACTAGGCAGAATTTCATYTAAAACAGCACTTCAGAATGCAGGCAATGTAAGGAAAATTAAAATTTAATTAGAAAAACAAAACAAAGGGGCATAGAGATCAAGCAATCTTCCCAAGATCATAAGACCCATAGCACAAAGTTTTTATCCATTTTAGTCCCTAAGCCACCTTTGCCTTTCTTTAGCTGTAAGAATCCACCCRTTAAAATTAAACAGCAGCAGAAACAGGATCATTAGCATCAAGAGCAGTAATTCTCTGTGTAAACAATACCTCCTCCTGCCTTTGGCTTCAGAACAAGTTCATTTGAAGTCAGAAAGACAAAAATAGATACTTGAATGTTTTGAACGTAATTTGGTTCAAATTAGCAACTTTGCTAATTGCTTCAATTTAACAACAGACCAGAAGAGCATAGTATTACTGCCTCAACACAGACATCAATCGACTGTATCCTCACATTCAAAAGACTGAATTTTGAAGTAAGGCAAGGTCTGAATACAAAACAAATTACACAAGAGACTTTATAGCAAGGCTCATGCTCCCAAAACACMGAACAAAACAAGCTTTTAAATATTACACATTCTTATCAGCAAGGAACAGTGTTTGATCTTTGTTCTCTCTTGTATCTCGACATTTGATCTGACCTCAGAGAAATCAACTTCCTGCATAACAAGAGAATTTCATTCTACAATATACATATCTAATCAGTCTCTCAGAGTGAGACCTTAAACCAGAAAGCAAAGGATAAGACCAAGGGAGCTAAAAATCATATATACTAAATAAAAACATAATCTAAAAATCGCTTTTAAAATGCAAACAGTTGTGGACTTGTACAGAGGTGAGCAAGGAACTTGCACAGTCCTGCTGGCAAGAACTGCTAAGCTAACGTTTTCCTCAACAGACATTTGGCCTTTGAAGGACCAAAATTAAGGGCTTTTGAAGACCCACACTTAAATTGCATGTCTGTCTTTGCCTGTCAATCGAGAAAAAATGCAGCAATGCTTCAACAGAAGCAAAGCAATCCTGCAAGGTCTACCCCTCCAGGGCCCCTCGGTGCCTGCGGGAGCAGAGGCTGCTCCCAGAGCCAGGRCAGCCGCTCCCAGGGTGGCCACAAGAGGCTGTTCGAGAGCCATGCAGAGCCCGCCCAGCCACGCTGAGCTCCGGCCCCAGCACGCTGCAGTCTGAAATGCTGAGCAAGTACAAAACGCGGCCGCATTGTTTCCACAGTGCCACGGCASCCCATAAGCAAGATTGCAGGCGAGTGTCTGTGTGCCTGCAGCTCCTTTCAGATGCGTTCACAGCAACTATCATGTGCTCTGAGCACCTGAGCAGCCCAAGCAAGGCCTAAACCTCTGGGCCAACCCAAACTATAAAACAACTGCTTCATGACTCCCACTCATCAGTGTGGGTAAGAGGTGATAAAAGAGGAGTGGAGCACCTCCCCTGTGAAGACAGGGAAAGTTTGGGCTGTTCAGCCTGGAGAAGAGAAGGTTGCATGGGAGATCTCACAGCAATCTGCTAGTGTCTGAAGGGGCTCCACAAGGAAGCCAGAGAGGGACACTTCAACAGGAACTGAAGTGACAGGATAAGGAGTAATGGGTACAAATTGAAAGAAAGGAAATTTAGGTTAGATACTCTATACTTAGAAATTCTATTCTGTGTGGGTTGTGGGACACCAGRKTGCCCAGGGAGGTTGTGGATGCCCTACCCCTGGAATTCAAGGCCAGCTTGAACAGGGCTTTGAACAACCTGGTCTAGTGGGAAGTGTCTCTCCCCATAGCAGTGGGRGTTAGGACTGGATGATCTTTAAGGTCCCTTCCACCTAACTTTCTTTGAGTCCATGATTAKTAGCTTCAAAAACTGATTTTGAATGTTAAAACCTCTATGACACAAAGCTCATCAGTAAAACTGCACCAGTGACAAAGGGGATGCCACCTTGGGCTTCTCAGGACACCACACATAGGGATGTGGCTGACACTTTCTGGAGATGGGCTGCATTACAAATTGGCTTTGCATCATGACTTCCAGAGTTTATTTTGACCAGTCAATAAAGTTACAGGAAGGCCCAGAAGTGTAACATTCCTGAAAGGGTCTCTCACCCAATTCACTGTTATCATCCACCAGAATGATTTCGTGCAGGAGGTGAGCAGGAGTGCGGTCCAGGACACTGTGCACTGTACGAAGCAGGGCAGAGAGCGCCTCGTTGTAGAAACAGATCACGACGCTGGCAGAGGGCAGATCAGCAGGRTAGGACTTCTCTCTGCACCTGAAAACAGGGATAGAGTCATTGTCACTATTTACAGAGGGGTTTCTACAGAACTGGGTCTCTATTGAAACTTCATAAATAACAAGCAAACATTAAATGTGTAGGAGGAAGCYCTAAGGTGAACATAACGAGTCTAGGACTCAGGATAGTAAGTTACTGTCCACATAATATAGACTTACAGTTAACACTGCTGCTGGTTAGAAAACAGTAGATATCATGGACTGAGGTGAGACTATGAACCACAGATCTTCAAGACAGAGAACAGAAGATACTCAGAGCTTGTTTCAGCTGTCAAAACACTGTCTAGAACCCTCAGATAGCTCAGACATGTAYAGGAAGGGCAAATACAACATGAGGCCCACAAAAAATACCACAGCTTTATTGGCCAGCTGCTGGAGACAGGGTTGGATAGCCCAGAAAACCTCCACTGGTGCTAAATACCTTTATACAACCAGGGCTGGGATTCAGAGGGCAGATTAAGACACTTAAGTCTAGTCACTGCTGTCAGTGCAGTCTAAATAGTGTTCAGCTCACCCTAAGGCTGTCAAGTGTGTTTTGTCAGCTGAAGAGCTCTGCATGCTTCATTAACTGCACTGACTGGATCTCTGCTAATTATAATAAAAGCAGAGACAACTGACTAACAAGCAGTTATCTAAGCATCTTAATCTGCAGGCTGAATCCCATTCAAAGCAAAGATCATTCTTTTTATTTTTAAAAYCTGTCCTTCCTTACTTCTAATAGGGCACGGTATCACAGATTAATGCCAGGCATGGGGGGATCCAATAGGGATAAGAAATTATGAACAGAAACCCAGAAGTATAGAAGAAAAGCTTTCATTTACTTAGAATGAGCTCAGTTCTGGGAGAGACGTATCAACAAATACAGTTAATTATATTTACCCACACCAGAGAGACCGCTAGAAAAATAAATGCAGATTTATTTCATTTTCAATGTTGGGATTTTTACTGTTGTTACAGATGTCAGTCCTCCTCCCCATGCACTAGACAGATTATAGGAAAGTATCTTCTCTTTAACAGTAAATATTCAGAGCAGCGCACAGCTCATCACACACATTTAGCAACTGACCAAAAAATTGGAACTCCAGAAACAATATTCAGTCAAAAAAGACAGAAAATACCAAAGAATAAAAAACCTACCCTCAAGCACTCCTGTTAACTAGCTGAAAAATCTGCCTTCAGCAACAGATGAAGATGAAACATGTATGACAGAAATGTTATCCCAAAAATATTAAACACTACATCAGGTGTAACAAGCCATTGGGCACATGAAACTATACCATGTTGTCTCCAAATCAGCACATACTTTGCATCTCTTGTATCAGGCACCTCCCTGTGGTATCCCAGTCGATTGCTGATAAGCATATTGAAAGCATGTTTCTGATAGCCCAAGTCTCTTACTTCTTGATCTTCTTCATTAAAAATCATTCCTGCAAAAGAAACATGCCAAGTTCAGTTAACAGGCTCAAAAAYATCATTTGAAAGAAATCAAGGACTGAAACATATGCTTTAACCTCTCCTAAAACCCATTACACTGTTAAAAATCCCTCTGGTTTTGCAAAGTGTGTATTTGTGCAATTGTTTCTGCTCCCTCTCACAAACAGGCAGTATTTACAAGTAGTCCTTGCARCTGTAATAAAATGAAATCCTTCTCCAAAGACTGCTGGCTCCATTGTGTTTATTGCCTTACCAGACACACTCCACTCATATGGCCTCTAATTTTCAGCACCACCTAAAACCAACATCAAACAAGCAATAGAGGATAGACTTTGGCACACAATAAATCAGCATCTATSCCTACAGGTGACAGGTCTGTAATGAGATTTTTGAGAGAAGAAATACATTTAGAATGGTAGAAAAATCCYCACAATAGCAGCTCCAATTTCATGCAGTTCTGCAGTCTGTGGTAACATAAAAATAGCTATGCAAGAACTTTTGTTTATCTCACCTGGACTTTGACAGCAGGTAAAATAGCAATAGAGCTGCTGTTTATTGATTATTTTAGCAGAAGTGGCAACTGTTACTAAGCATGGAAGAAGTAATTGTTGGTATAAGGAAATGCACTGCAAGAAGCCAATATGAAATTTTCAGTGCCTTGACTCAGTGCTACAGGCTTCTCTCACTGAGCCACACATTTACCAGTGTGAACAGAACCAAAACAGTGTGGCACTTCACACAGGTCCATRAGAGAGAGAGAGCTGGTGTCTGCCACCACCTGTGCCTCTAATCACTTCTGCAACAATGGAGGTAGTAGAATGATTATTTGTTATTTGTCTCTATTCTGGCTGCACAGAATGAGATGCTTTCTCTTCAGTTATTTTCAAGCTACACAGGCAATTTCAGTGAAATTTCAATACAGGAAGTGAACAAGGATCATGTAAGTGATCTCTTTCCACCCTGYCCATCATCTCCATATCATTCAAAATCTGCAGAAAACAAGAGGGTTCCTCATTAATATGCTACCATACATCCAGGAAAATAAATGTTTCATACATTCACAGACTAGTTCCGATTGAAAGGGACATGTCCTTCCCAAAAGCAGGTCCAGCTAGAGCAGGTTKCTCAGAACAAGTGCAGTTCAATTTTGAAAGACTTCAGTACCTCCAAAGATGAAGATTCTACAACATCTTATTTCCCTGTTCAAGCATTTGATCACCATCACACTGAAAATCTTTTTCCTCGTCCACACCTGAAATCCCCTCAYGCCAATTTCTTATCATAATCCCATACACTTTGGGAAGAGTCTGCCTCATCTTCCCTACAGCCTYCCATTAAGCTGCTGCTGACAACAATAATATCTCAGCCCTCAGCCTTCTCACTGAGGCAGAATAAACCAAATCCTCCCAGCCTGTCTCCACATCTTCTGTTCTACAGTTTTCATCTGCTATGCAAAAGCCAGCTGAGCTTGAACCTGGAGAAAGTGAGTTGCGTGAAAACAGCAAAGAGAAGTAATTTTAGAAGTTTGAAATGGAAGAAAACTTCAAAACAGGTATTCCACCTGGGCCTTAGGAGCACAGCTGTGTCACTCTCAGCTGTGTCTCAATAAYAAAGTCTGCCTACAGGTACTAGATGATCTTCCAGAGGTAYTTCCATGCATCCACATTCCCACTATCTACATTTACCACCCTGTGGCTTTTAATCTTGAGTTCATCAGCGGCAGTGCAGCTGCACTATCAAACARCTCAAGAGTAAATGCCTCGACATTTGTGCAGGACCAAGTGGGAAGTGCTGGGCAGTGATATACATGAAATACATGGGATACACCCACGGAGTGTCTTGTGACTGTCCTGCTCAGGGATGAGTGTTCCCACTGAGGATCAGCTGCATCGTGGGGGTAGAAATGAGGCTTGCTTACAGTGGTACTGCCCCATCACTAGCAGCTCAAAGGGGTCAGTCAGTCTTCCAATGAACCACATCCACACCCAAAGGAAGGTCTCCAGCTGGTCAGTTCAGTCACCCAGCCCCATCATTCTGGCACAATCAGTGGCACAGTCTACTGTGGTCAGCTTAAAACACTTTCTTCATACCAAGCATAAGCTTAAAACATGYCCCAAATGTTTAATTCTACAATCCATCCATGACTAACCACTAACTACCTTTTTCTGAACTTATGAATATATTCAAGGAGTGCTGGTATTTTTAAAACATCCTYATGAAGAACAGCATCAATACATGCATAAGGCCTGAATTTCAGTTCAAACAGCAGATAGAAGCCCCATATAAAATAAGGGGTTTGCACTCAAAACATTCGTTTAGGCTTTACTTCAGCAGTTTTATGTGGCTCTCACAGATTACCCAAAAAAAAAAACCAAAAAAAACATAAATCAACCTACCAATGACAGTTTGGTTTTGACTATCACCTGGCCATACTGAATGGCTGGAAAGAAATGGCTGCCTCTGGACTGGCCTTCACTTCACTTGATGCTCAGGCTTTTTGTAGTCAACTGATAAACACTGTTAATACCACAGGGCAACATGAACTGCCATTTTTCCACCATATTCACMCAGGTTTAATGACCAACTCAGAAACTGAAGTTTGTTAAGTTCTACAAACTCACAAAGCTTGTGATTCACCATTCATCCACAGTCATGACAGTAGACTTCAGGGAGATAGGAGCGTTAAACCCTGGCTATGGAGGTTTCTGTGCTGTATTTCTCAAAGCAGCAGCAGAAACCAACATCCCAACACTCTACCACAACACTCAGCTTCTGCCTCCAGACTCAAACCAAGTTTTAAGCCAGCACACAACATGYCTGTTTGCACATCTAAACCCAGCACTGAATATGCTGTAAGCATTTAAATACACAAAGCATTTTATTTTGGAACACAAAACTAAACCACCTCATTGATGAAATATGCTCTAGTGAAACACAGACCTTTGCTGGAACAAAGTAAGCACGATTTGGTTCTAACCATTGTCATCTCAATCCTGCATTGTAAGTTTGTCCTAYACACATTTCTTGTAGATTAAGTCATACTCAAAGCATATTCTCCAAATCAGTGTGTCCTCTTCAGTGTTTACTGATATCAAGCTATTTTTAATTACTGCATATGAGTTTCTCTGTAGGTAATTAAAGCTTATGTATTTGAGAAAAATTAATATAGAAATAAGATACGAAACAAGCACACAGTGAAYCTTCCAAAATCAAAATTTAGTTAATCAAGGGCAGACCTGTGCTGTAACCCAGTYCTCATCAGCACTTACACAGCATAGCCGTAAATATTAGAAAGAGTATATTCTGGATTAAGCACTGCAGAATAAWTTTCAAGTAATTTCTAATGACCAGAGCGACTAGTAATACCTGCATTTTAGCAAACAAAACTTCTTCATTATACATTTCTTTCTGCGATTTCTTTTACAGAAAACCATCTCATTTCTCCTATTGTTTCRCTAAGTTTGTCACCAACACTGAAAACCACTTACCCATTTCAGGAGAGAATTCTACCTCCCCCTTAACTGGGTCCTGGATATGATTCCCAAAAGAATTTCCTATTTTATTCTCTTTCTGTTGCAATTCAGGTATATGAACTGGTCCCCGCGTAAAACGGGGGTAGAATTTTTTTGGAAATGGCCTCTGAGGTTCCAGCCCCTTGACGGGCACATTCTTGAAGGACTGRTTCTCTTCACTGAAGTTGAAATAAACAAAGAGCAGAAGTGTCCAGGTCACGGATGTGAAGAGGCACCCATAGCAGAAATAGCGAAGTGTGACACTTCCCATTGTAAACTCAGCATCATTGAGGAGCCATTTTCAATTACCTGAAAAAGAGTGAAAACACTAATTTTGAGAGTGCTGCCTGTTACCTTATATATTAGGAAATACATGCTATAGGTTACTCTTCCATTAAATGATTTTTAGAACTTAAACTTCAAACACAGACCTCAAGAAGTAAATCCCTTTGCACTCTCCCATTCAAAAAGGAAACAGAACCAATYTACACATTTAATGTGGATACCACTGCTTTAAAACATGAAACAATCACTAAGAGCCYAGTGACAGCACAATTAAAGGTAAAAGTGATTAATTCTTTTTCAGAACAGTTACATAATTATTCTGTTCCACAACAGTATATTTCTAGTATGCCTGCCTTGATTCAAACATATAACTATACAATTAAATATATTGTGTTCAGGGAATTGATTCTTCACAGAATGGTTTTGGCTAGAAGGAACATGTGGAAGTCACCTTGTCAAACCCTATTGCTCAAGCAGGGCCAAGTCGCCCAAGAGTATGCCCATATGTATCTGTTTCTGTAGTTCAGATCCTATTCTAAAGCATGGAATGAGAGAACACGGATTCAAAAAAGCTACRTAGTTCAGCTTTTCTTGTCCCAAATTTAAGAACAACCRTCATGAGTSTCACAGAAGTTTCAGAAAACATGGAGTGCAATTGAACAACACACAGCACCAAGACAGCCACATTTACAAGTAATCTTCTTCACAGAAACCAAAGAGGGGRTAGGAAAAGAAGAAAAAGCTCTAAGGTAATTTACTGGGCTCCTGYAGGCCTCTGCAGACTCCAGAAAAGCTCCCATACTCCTTGGAGGAGATGCCTGTCTGGAGCTGGAAGGAGGCAACCCAGACTGGAGTTTTATTTTAGACATCTCTAAGACAATTTTCCCAAGCTACATTGAAAATTACTGTCTTAAGCAAAACTGCGAAGTGAAGCAAATGAAGTAGGTAATAATATTTTATTTATGGGCCAGGAGAATTGGGTAGACTTTCTGGAGTTCTTCAAATCTAAAAAAAGCTCAACACCATCCCCCCAACCTGCAAAAAAAAAAAAAAAAAAAAAACCCAGAACAAAACCCACCAACCAAAACCAAAACAACCCTAAACAACACACAAAAACCCCCAACACTAACAAAAAACCCCACACATATTAAAAACCATACAGATCAGTTCCCCAAACTCAGGGGGAAAAAAACTCAACACTGGCTCAAAGGATTACTTTCATCAGTATCTAACCACAACAAATTCTTTGCATAGCAAAAAAAAAGTCAGGAAATCATTTAATCATCTTTTAATTACCGAAASTTTTGTTTTAAGAAAAAAAATATTGGTGTGGGAGTCAATCATTCATGCTGATGCACTTTTCAAACTACTCAAAAAGTCAGAAACTACTAGAAGTCTGAAGGTCAGCCTGACAAAGAACATTTGTGAGTAAAAAATTCCTTCTCAATATGGGAAACTACTCAATAAAGGTAGAAGCTGTTAATGATCCCAAAGAACATCACAAAGACACAACTTACTTCAGCAATGTAATTCTGAGTCCTCAGTGATTTGCTTTCAAAAAGAATATATGTCAAAATCCAAGCTTACATTTCCCAGACTGCAGTAGGGCATCACATCCCAACAATAAAACATCCACAGAGTAAAGCAAAAAAAACCCAAACCCAACTCTCCTCAAAATTAATTTACTCATTGTTCTTACCATGTCAAACTCTCTCACTCCTGCAAGGCAACAATCTACRGAGCAGTTGAGCCCAAGGAGCTTAAAAAGGTCTTACACAGGGTTTAAATCTCAGGCTGACCCTGTGCATACAGATCAATGGCACGCTCTGTGAAACAGGCTCTCTCTCTAACACTGTCACACAGAAATCTCACTGCTTAACTGCAAAGCCATGAAATTAGTCAGGCACCAAACGCTCTGGGGCAGAAATGATTTACGAAAATCCTCATTTTAGCTAGCAGAATAGGTTTACCAGTTAGAGAAGTACAGACCACCAATCCCCAGTGCCTCACGCCCTGTGCTAATACAATCATACCAAGGTGAACCTTGGCTCMGAAAATGCACCTGAGGCTGCAGAGGAGCAAGAGCAGATAAACAGTTATATCATCTCATTGTAATAATTCTTTTTGCTCAGCAGTCTGCAGACAGTTAATKCTTCTCAATAAAAGACGATCTGGGGCTCTTGCCAGGTTCTTTTTACATGGCCACCAGAAGGTCATCTGCTGTCAGTTGTGTCCAAGCCTAACATAATGCTCCTCAAAAACTGCTAGAGGTGTTTTCCCCTTCACTATGGTAACACAGATGGACAATCCTAACACGCACTGACACTTTGGAACAGAACTGTCCTAGTAAGATAAAAATTACTCTAACAGAGAAGGAACCTTTTCATTTCAGAGTTGTTTAAGGATACATCTACACTGCAGCTTGCACAGAAAAATCAAATATAATCTATTCTCTCTCTGGTAACAATCAGAATGCAGGTACACAGAGAATTTGTGGATTAAGTATTTCCTTTCCCTAGTTCCTTGCACCTCTTTCACAGCTCAGAGCTATACCTACTGCTGTGGCACTTCCAGCCATGCTAAGGTTAAAGTTCACTATGACTGACATCAGGCACTCAGATCAAAGAGGAAGGGATAAATTACTAATCACCAGAGGGAGGACATTGCYGTACATCCCTTCCATCTCCAGAGCTCTCTGACCAGGCTAAAAGCTCATGSAAACCAAACCTAAATAAACYAAACATTACTTCCACTTGATCCTTKCTAGATCTGCCTCACCTTCTTCTCCTCTTCTTCACTATTTCGGCATTTTGTAAAAAGATAAAGATGTTGAAATACTGCATTTAAATCAAATGACAGAACCTTCACAATGCACAGACTGCTCCCATTCAGTACCTTGCTATTCAACCAAGACATTTGGTAATTCATCTGGCAGGAAAATACAGACTCACTCTTTAGACAATTTTGAAGGCAGAACGGAAAAAGAAAAAAAAATTAAAAAGAAAKAGTTAAAACCTGTGTATGAAAAGCACATTGATGCTTATTAGTTTACTTTACTCACCAACACATACGTATTTACTTATTAACCACCRTCCTATGGATTTCAACCTCTTCTACCATTTGAGCAGACTCAGGGTCATGATCTTGGTCAGAGCTGCACACTCCAGTTTTAGATTGACTGACTTCTTATAGACATGGTTTAGGCCAGAGGAGGTTTTCAAGTCTTCAGCAATGTCAGTCCTGCTTGGGAACTGCCCTGAGGAGCCAAGAGAACCTTTCCAGCCCTACTCTTCTATGCATACAAAGCATAGTCACATTATTAATACATATTTGCCACTCCTCAGCATACCAAGAAACAAGAATAGATAAAAACCAGAGGGAGAAAGGAGACTGCAGCTGATCACAAGGACATGCAYGGAAACACTCAGTTCATGGTGTCTGACACTCAACCCTTGGTTCTTACCTCATCCATCTCCCTATCTGTGACTTCCTTCCATGCAGACACGGTGAATAAATGTCTTACTCTGTCCAGACTCCTTTACTCTCCAGTGTTGTGAAGTCTTCTAGGAAACACATTTTGCCAGTCTATACAACAACTGTCTCTGCCTATGGATTGTCATAATACCTTGATGAGGGTCTTAAAYATCCATCCTTTCACAGGCTTGGTTTCCCCAAGCAGGATTTCAAAACTTAAGCAAAACCAAATCCTTCATTTATTTTTTCCTCCATTTTTTTTAATGGAGACAAACTGTTCCTGAATACAGGAGATGCAAACATGCCTTTCAAATCCAAAGTATTAGGATCTTTCCCAGCCCTGATACATGCTGCATGAGAAAAACAGATTATCTGTATTTTTAACTTAATAGCYTAAAGCTCTGCTAATGCAAGCACAGCTGGCAGGTTTGAACAATTAGATAGAAACAACTGAAATTTAAAAAAAGCAGAATTGTATTATTCAGACAACCATGTCARTGGGTTCATAAGAATAATTTTCACCTCTGCAATACTGCAACAATGAGTCCAGTCACTAATAAATTGATATTTGGACAGTACAGTTAAAAGTAATTTCTATTTATTTACTGAAGTGCAAATAAAAATACTAAATGTCACAAAATAATAATCCATTATTTAAACATAACAAGAAGAATTGTTTCACAATACAGTTCCTCACAAATTTGATTGGAAAGAGACTAGGCTTGAAGGGTCTATCATGCATCTTCATTTCTGAAAAGCAGTACAGCTGCCAAAAGCAAAAAGCAYCTCAAACAATTCTCCTTTCCAAAATCTCATGTTGTAAAGAACATCCAGAATAAACAGAAGGCATTTCCTCTCCCTTGGCAAGATAGGAACTTCCAGAGGAAGAAATAAATAACACCTTTAAGTATTTTACAGTCATTCATTCCCATGCCCTAGATATGCACGGAGTTCATGACTGTTCACACTGGTGTACTCAGGAATCCAGCAACACTTCAACATAACAAACATAAATTGTCCAAGGTGGCAGTATCTCCTACATCAGGAAATTACAATCCAATTAGGAGGTAAGAAAGGAAAAAACAAATCTTAGAATCYGCCTTCAACAGCATCAGCTCAGAAGAGACCAAGACTAAAAGGCACATTATTCTGAGAATTTCTGACCAGATATTCAGGCCTTCAGCATCTCTCTTGTTACTCTGTTTTGACTGACATATATTTATTGCCTGACAGTTTTCCTTTGGCAAAGCCTTAGAACTGAGTTTGCAGACCTACATGCCAGAAATGCCAGGAGTAAAATACTGTTCTGTAATTTCCACGAATTCCAGTACAGAAGTCTCAGTTCCTTGCACAAGTAGTAAATAATTGATTTTTTTTAAGAGAACTATAAAAGTTAAATATTAGGTAAAAGTCTCTCAATCAATCCCAAAGCTGAAAAACTCTCCAGAAGCCCACCTGCCAGATCTGAGCTGCAGAACTCACTGTGCAATAGGCCTTTCATGTCACAGTAGCTTCTTTTAGTAGCCTTACACCACCATGACATTCATTTCATACATCAAACCTAGGAATATTTACATTCATTTAATAACTGGCTCAACAAGGATACAACTRTGTTCTCCCCACAGACACTCTGGAGGGTTTGTTGATAGTAACCTGTGCAGCTCTCAGTAACACTGGCCCAATGTGCTGCCCTTGGATATTTTTTAAAGGAAGCAAAAAATGTCAACCACACTCCACAATATTTTGGCTTCAAGAGCAATATTTGCTACAGACTATGACCTGCCACTGCTTAAGCACTGACATCTGCTTGGATTAACCTCAACAGTTTAGTAAATACACCGTATGAGTAGATATTTCATAACTGTGCCAGAAGTCATGTCTGTTGGAGGTCAAAGAGAGGATCGGACTAACCTCAAGATTTTTGAAATAGGAGGAAAAATTATTTGAGAAAACCTTAAAGTCTGCTTGTAGTTTTTCCAAGAACAGCTTTTCCTCTAAAAAAAACGAAAACGAAGACAGATATACAACTCATACTACCCAGGTCCTCTGCAAGACTACCTGTGTATTTTGGAACTATACTGAGGAGAGGAACAGATGTGTATAATYTTCAGTTTAAAGAGCATTCTAGTTAAAAAAAAAGAACCATTAAACCACTTCATCTTTCTATAGAGTATTAGGATAATTTGCTGCAAGACCGTCTATASATGCTTTTAATTTTTGCTTTCTTTTTTTGGGGGGTAGCAAAATACAAGGATATAAAACAACACCACTTACCAAAGCAGCTTTGCTYGTTTAATAGCCTTAACTCTTTCTACTTTTCTTGGCCTACAAGATGTTATAGGCACCCATGAGCAGGCTTTCCTATTTACTGGTTGATTCACTATGAAACAACAGCATTAATAGTGCAATGAATAGGGACCAGATTAGGAAGAGCAGTACAGCAATAATACACACTCATCACACAAAAGAGATGCCATTCACACAGCACTTTCACAGGAATTAGGTTTTTTCCAGGCAACCTTTCCACTACAGTCTCTCTCTTCAGGGAAAGTCACAGTTAATAGACCAGCAAGATGAAAAAGGGACACCTTGGGCAGCTTTTGTTTCAGATCCAATACACATCACTAGGAGCAACATCCGCAGAACATACAGCCAGAACAAAAATAATAGACACTTCCAAATAAAASTGTTTCATGTGCCCCAGAATCTAAGCACAGAGGCAATTTAACTCCTTCTTAAAAACTCCCCTATTGAATTGTTTTAACATTAAATTGGATCTACCTGCCAGTTTGTTTTTAATTAAAAACAACCATTAATTTTTGACCTTACAGAGGGATGGGTGAAGGCACTTTATGAATTAAGTGGCTATTTTTGACAGAATACAGGCAGGTAACTACTCATGTAGAGACAGTTTGGGCCTACAAAAACCTAAATAGTGACATTCAGCAAGGACAGATGCCAAGTCCTACACCTGGGACAGACAAACCCCCTGGCTGCTGGCATAGCCTGAGGAACAGCTCTGCAGAGAAGGACCAGCCAAGGTCTGGCTAAGCTCGAGMCAGAGCACAGTCTTGCAGCAAGGAGAGCTCAGGGAGCCCCAGCAGCACAGCCAGCTGAGACAAGGGTGCAACTCCATAGCTCCCTGAGACCACAGGCAGAGGACAACACACAGGGAGAGATTYGCCAGTACAAGACAGAGATCAGGACACTGGAATGAGTTCAGTGAAAGGCCACCAAGATGGTCACATGCTGGAACACTTGCCCTGTGAGAACTGAGGATGCTAGGCTCTTTCAGCCTGCTGAAGAGATGGCTTTGGGATGAGAACTAAAATAGCAGCCTGTTGCTACCTACAGGGATGTTACCAAGAAAACAGACCCAGGCTATTTAGTGAGGTGCAAGGTAGGAKAAAGAAAGAACTAAAAAAGACTAATGTTAAATCATGTTAATGTTCAGTCACACCAACACTCATCCACAGAAATATCCTATGAACCACAGGCTGTCCTCTTGCATAAGACCACTGTTCCCATTCATTTTAATGAGATGACACACTAAGATCTATTTTTAATTAGCCTCTGCAAGTCCCTTCTAAATTCAACTTTCAAAGCTTTGAGAGCCAACAGTTTAGTCATTTCAGCACAGATATACAAATCCATGTCATACCACCTAAAATAAATCCTCCTGGAATGAATACAAAATCTTGAGCAACACTTTACAGATAATGTTAAAATACCAATAATATTCATTATATTTCAAACATAAATAAAGGCACATAGATTAGTTGCGTGACTTGTTGAAGGCCTATGAAACTATACTCGGAGTATATGAAGTCTGAAAAGCTTTAAGTGTTTTAGGACAAATCTAAAAATTCATCTTCTTAGGTCTTTAAGGTTCTCAGCTCTCACTATTTTTCCAGCATCAAATGACTCACTCATATACTGATTTGTATTTCAGTTTTTTGGCTTTAACCACAGATGTCTAATTATTGCATAGTAACATTTTCAAATCTGTGAACTATACATTGAAATGCCTTCTCTAGGAACATAACTTTGCTTATCAAGCTTTTTGGAATTTCTTAATTCCAGGAAAAAAGCTTTACTTAGCAGGCTGCCATACCAGAGTGCATGCAAACACTTTGACTTTTTTATAATAAAAATGTGAAATTCCTCCTTTTTCTACTTGCATTTCAAAGCACCCTTAAAGAAATGTTCAAGTATGTTCTGCAGTAACATCTTCCAACAATAAAACATACTGTTTTTTCCTTACTGATAAAGAATACCTTTCTCCCCACATATTGCTCCACTCCATGAATTGAGAAGGCTGTAATTTAAGGACACAATTTTAATGGGAAAAGCAGTTACAAGTTTTGGAAAGAAAAACTTTTCTCAGTCAGGATCTCATGTTAACAGACAGCTGAAAAGAACACCGGGTTTAGTTACAAACAGTAGTACAACATTGCATCAAAAAAAGTAACAWAATAGTCCAGCCTGATTAGAGAAAACAAGGACTCTTGGATTAGAAATATGAGTTTACCAAAATCCTAGTGCTCAATTCTGGGCAAATAAGTGTTATATAGTAGACAGTTTCATGCTGCTGCAGTGTCCCCATTCCCCTCCAAAAAAAGCTTCTTATTTCCCAAAGCACACTTATAAGAAATAAATTCTTACCTATCTCCCTGACAAACGCTCCGTAGGCTGCTCAGCTGGATGTTCCTTTAAGCCATCTGGCACACAAATACATGTCATGCCATTCCCGGAGTCCTAAAAATACCTTCTGCCTTTTTTGTTGCTAATAAATACTTTCTTCTAATTCAAACAGTGAGATTTTCTTTACATCAATAAAACCAGCTCTGAAGGAAGCCAGAACGTCTCCAAAGGAAGATGCAATGCATTTTGTAATACAGCCCTTCCTTTTTCACAGAGCTCAGAAAACAGCAAGGTTAAACACCCCACAAGTTGTTCTTCAATKCATCTCTCTCACATTAAAGATCCATGCATCTAAATATTAGTTAAACAATGCTTCAGCACTATATAGAATTGCAGAATGTAAGAGAGCTTGCAAGGTCATCTACACACAAACAAGCTGCTTAATATCTTTTCTAAATGTTTAAAATCTGCTTAGCTGTTCCTCACATTTTATGTCTTCAAAATCCACCAAAAAACAAAAAAAAAATGCAGATTCATGCAAAATAATTAGATTAGTGACACTTTTACACGAACAGCTGAACTGTAGAATGCTCACCTTTTTCCAGAAGAGTCGACACTAAAGCAGTGCAAGGTTACACAGGGAGAGCACRTTGACTGCAGTAGCAGCCAGATCCAGTCGGTGTCTTCATTCCCAGTGAACAATAAACCGCTGAGCCAGAAACTTAACGCTTTGTTGCTTGCAAGTCCGGACTGGGAAGGGGGCAAAAAACACAGGCTTCTCTAGGARAACAGGCCAGTTTGGATGGATCTGAGGACACCAATGCTGCATGCCCTCTTTTGGCTGCATACACTGTCCCAAAAGCATCAATTTATTTCTTTGTTTGTAATTATTTTTCACATCTCTTTTATTATTATTTTTTCAGCTGATTCATGATCCATATTAATCCATGTATTTGGCAATATACATATGGTCATTTTCCTGCCACTTACATAATCAATCAGTGGCTCTCTTCATCATGACTAGACCACAGTAATGCTAGAGAAGATGATAATTAAGTTATATAAAAAATCCTTTACACCTCATTTTTCAAATCACCAGGAACTTCGTAAGATTTCCATATCTTGATAGAAATTTTCTAGGTATGTTTTCTGCTCATCTTCATACATTTTCATCACAAGTGCTTTGGGCTTTTTTCCAGTCTTTTACAAAGGGAAGTGAAAACACATTTTCTAATTCGTAAAAAATGAAAAAACAGAAAAATCAGACTTAGTTTGTGCAGCCCTGCTCAGAAGTAGAAAAAGCTGGCAGTGAATCCATCAACAAAACAGACCTCAGTGAAAGAATTTTGAGTGGGACAATGGTAAAAAGTGATGTWGATCAGTCTGTTCTGAACCTGTGGCACAAGTTCTGCAGTAGCTCCCAGAAGACATCCACCATCCACTTGTACAGGACTCATACTGATACCAACAGGTGGGTACAAAAAAATRCACAAGAGATTTTTGCCAACTCACACTAGGAACTTCCAAAGACTCTACCTGAACATGTGTAAAATACAAAGCCACTGCAATTATGTTACTATTTGTACTACAAAATTGGAAAGTGACTTAATGAGACTTGTTACACTGCACTTTATCCTGCAGCATTAGATTACAGAATCCTAGACCTCCATGCCTACTYTCCACAAATCACTCAAGTCTACTTCATTTCTCTTTCTCAGGGTTTTCCTTTTCAATAGGCAGAAACTTAATAAAAATACTTTTATTAGGATCAGACCAGGATCAAACATCTTTGTGGAGCCTGAGTAACTGATACTAGCATACAGATTTATTTGTTAAGAAAAGAAAAACAACCAAAACCAACTGAAACCAAACACACACAAACAAAAATATAAGCAATAGATGAAAYGTAGCCCGAGAATTAGGAGTGAGGTTAAAACAAGTTACAGTTTAAATCCCTAAACTGACTTTACAGGAAAATATTTAACTAATTCTAAACTGCTCAGGGTTCTTAACCCTGCTACATTTCTCCATGATATTAAGAGATGGTACTTTCTTAGAGATTTCCTCAATATACCATGTCCTGTATTCTTCCATGTGAATGGCCATTGTCAAAAAAAAGTAGAAGTGAAAAAATACTAAAAGCATGAGTTGAACTCAATGTCCGTCTGCATTTCTYATTTCCAGAAACAAACATCACTTGGAGTTTTTCCCTCCAAGCTTTAGCACAGAGTCCACAGTATCCATGCTATTTGGAACTTTCATTTTTCCCTAGTAAGAAATTCTGAGATAAACCAAAAACCTGCAATCTTCTCGTTTTGGATTCATTTTTTCATCAGAAGTTTGAAGTATTTTCTGCATACAGGTTTCTCTCTACGACTTTCATCTTCTCACAAATGTCTCCAGACATTAATAAAAGAGAGGAATCCTAAGGATATAATTTTATTTTGTGTTCTCTCTTCAACTTTCTGACTGCACCAAGAAAGGTACCAGATTGAGTCAAGAGACACTGTGGTGGAATTATTTTCTCGGCTACAGATTTTGATGAGATTCTCAACAACTCGATGTCTCAGCTCTCTTCTGATGCATTAGGGCAAACACCTTAGTTGCTGGATTAAAACAAGTCCCTAGCAGAAACAYTGCCTGTAAGGAGAGCAGACTTCCACAAGTCTTGCCAAAAATTAGTTTTCTTAGCCTTTCATTCTTTCTCCATGATCTTACAGACTCAATTGTTTCTTCTCCCAAGAAATCCCTCTGAGGAAAGAGTTGTGGACCACTCCTTTTCCATCTTCTCTTGGTCACTTTTCTTCTACTTATCTAGCGCCAAAGTTTCTAATGGGAAAACATACTCAGGATTTTGATGTTGAAATCACAGATGTTGCAACAAAATGAATAGCAGATCAAAAATACATTTTCCCACTTCAGTAGGAGCTATGCTTCCCAACATACTGCTTGCACAGAAGGTTAATGTGCAATCCAGAGCTGGGCTGTCTCTTGGTTCATGGGTGATGAGTCTCAGCATCTGCTGACACCAGAAATAAGAGATTCATGCTAACTGACAAAAACAAGGTATTCCTGGAAAAGGAAAACTAAAGGAAACACTGCTAGAAAACATATTCAGTAACAAATATGAGAAGTATCAACAGAGACAGTGGCATCTTTTGTTCTTGATGTTATGTTTCAGGAATTGGCAAAATAGTTGAAATACCTACAAAGATTAATTCATAAGGGATTTTGAATCAAAACACGATAGTCTGTGCTTCCAGGAAAAGTATCAGTGTTTTRATTAAGGCCACTTCCAAGGTTTAGAGCATTCAATTTAATCCTTGWCTGCACAAGAAAATCTGTGTCATTTAGCCAAGCAACATTTGTATGGTTTTACACAAACTAAAAAGACCTCCACAGACATGCTTCTAATATTCATTAAGTATTTGCTTAAATCAGTTTGGCACATAGCAACCCTTCACTGAGGTACCTTCTTTTCAGCATGCCTCTRCAAGTTTATTAGCTTAGCCTGTCAATTTAAAATCTGACTTCTTAAATAGTGCAGTGTCTCAGWAGTTGAAATCTTAGGAATGACAAAGTTACTGCGGATAGGCAGGTAACCCCCAACAGCCACTCTGCAGCATTTCTTTATGCACATATTCCTTCCCTCTTGAGCAGCAAGAAGAGTTACCTTTGTCCAGGCAGCTCCATGGCAGGAAGGGTTGGAGCACAAATGTGAACAGTCTCTGTAGCACAGCTGATAAGGTAAAACTTACCAGTCACAGCCAACTTCAGTCTCAGAAATGGAGAATTTGAAACGCCWCAGTTGGCATGAGACAAAACCACAAGAGCTCACCTGGTCCCAACTGAACTTAGATTACAAAGACATCAAAGACCCATGAGCACTGTGGGGTAGTGGCTTTGGACTCCACCCTGGCCTGCACTACTTTTCCTTGCTCTCAGTATAAAGCACAAAGCAGGCAACAGCAAGACCTGAGGTTCCTGCATCAGGGGTCTCTGATCAGTGTCAGAGACCTGTGGAAAAGCCGATTCACCCCTGAGCAATGTGTTCAAGTTTCAAACAGGCAAAGGATCAGGCTGTCAAAACAGACTGCACAAGAAAGGGMTGAGATGCAACACACAGACACACTTTAACAGGCACTTTACTCCGTACTCTACATTTCAATAACACCGTCAATTATTTAATCTACAAATTTAGCATATTTCCATATCTCAGGGAATAAGTTCAGAAGCTCCTACAACAAAATATCATAAATTTAGCATACTTAAGGTCAATTTTTTAATAAAACAGTACAATCAGCTTCCTAACTTTCCATCTTTTTTTGCTGTAGTGTATTTGTAGTTTTTACAGTTTTCAAACAGAGCATTTACGCTAATTCTTACACAATGCTGACTCACACGAGAAACACTCTAGAAAGTGACTGAAGGATGTGCTGCATACTATTGACTCTTACACAAAAAGAGCTGAACAAATGGTTTTACTCATGCTGCAAAACCCTGAACAGCCGAGGCCTTACCACTGACAGTACTTTATACATTAACRCAGTAGCTGCAACAGCAGATGCTTTCATCTCCATAAACCACCATATGTTTTTGAAAAGAAACCTTAGATAAGAAGACAGTTTATCTGCCTCTCACACTAACAAGGACTGAAACAGACTTCACCTTTGTAATATTTTGAGAAAGAAAAAACAAATTCATTTCTGCACTTGATATACATTCACATACTTTTGCTCTGCAACAGCAAGCAACATAGTTGTGTTGTAACACCTCTCCAGAATTAATGGCACTAAAGGAAATTACTTGATTTTAAGGATACCTGCAGTTGCAGTATCACCAAGACAGGCAGACTGAACTGTTTAGGAAGTTGACAACAGTTACAGAAAGGAATGATTGTAATCTTTGGAAGTRTTACCTCTTTCCCTTCAGTGAAAGTCTCCCTTTACTTCTCTGCTTCAAGTTATCAACACACAGCTGCCACACTGCCCAACAGCCTGCCAGCTGCTTACACTGCAACTGTTTCACAGGACCTTCCAAGGCAATGTAACCAAAGCATCATCCTCCCTTTGTCCTTTTCACCCTCACAGTACCCTGCTCTTTCTCACTGGAGGAACCCAAAATCTCCATTTTTACTATCTGCTCAGACACTTCTAACCTCATCCATGTGATCCCACACCACATGCATGCTCTAATCCCACCATTAAAAACTCGAGATTTCCGTTACTTACTGTGAAGAAGCCTGTTTTGTACAGATAAATTTTCAAAATACTAATAATTTATTTTTATTTTCCCTGCCCTGCTCTTTCTGGGCTTTCTGCCTCCTAAAATGCTTCAATCATACCTACTGTTATTTTACATCACTATGAAAATTATGATCTGATTSACCCATTCTCATAAACTACCATCACATGGAAGCTTTTCAGGAACTCTATCCAATGTTACTCCTGGGCATAATGCAGTATTGATTTGCATCCTATGAGAACATGATTAGATAGCAGAAGCCAGGGCACAGGCCCTGAAATCTGCTGTCAGACTCTCTTACAGCAGAACAAATGCCACTTAGCCTGCTGGCATCYTCATCTGAGGCTGGGAGATGAAGGCTTATTAGAGCTGCACTGTTATTTCTTTCCTTCCCTGCTGCAGAAGAGCTCCTAAAACTCTGCAGGAGCTTATCTTACCCAGAAATGAGGAAAAGCTTATGCAGAAGGCATGCAGTTTTTCAGAGACAGTTCTACTGGGGGAGGCCAATTGCTGGTTAATCAAAAGCCTCTTATCTGGAACCACCTGGACATTTATGCTGCTCTAAAATGAGGCCTAGGAATCCCAGCTGGACTATTTCACATATTTAGAGCTTCTCTACAGGGTAC